AAAACCTTCATAAATATGCATCTCTCTAAAGTCAGCGTTTGTCAAGGTTGTCTGTCAGTTGCTGACATTTAGCAAGAAAATCATAATGTTGAGAACAAACCCTTTAATATCGAATCAACTTCGACATGTAAACCTATAGATTGGGGAGTTTTTGCAGTCAAGAAATGTAAACATTAGAAGTGATGGAATGATTAACCTATTGCGTGCAGTATATATTGTGATTAGTTCTTTGATAAGTAAATTACTAGAATTGATGCACTTTGCATAGAAGCTGAAAAAATCACTTCCGAAACTAATGCAAAATGTTAATAATGTTGGTTAGAAGGATCAGAATGTACAATGAGAACAGATAAATGATCTGCTTACTTATAAAACCAATTTGACCAAGATAAAACAACCATATCTCATCATTTCCGAATCGATTCTGGTCAGCTAAGAATTTATATCGATTTATCCATACGAGAACCAAATTGCTTCTATAAATTGTGAAATATTTATATAAAGAAAAATAATACGCTGTACTTGAATGGCGCTGACTTAAATGTATATATATGAAAGTTGCTCTCAGAATTGCAGATTGCAGAATAATTTAAAATTTTCAATAAAAGAAATTGCAGCTATTCTACTTTTTCATCACATCAAATATGTTCTTAACGAAAATGACTGAAACCTGATGCCTCAATCGCGACCTGCCTGTGACCAATGTAATGCAACCACAATGGCATAGTATGGCGTAGTGTTACAGTTATGTTTTGAAGAGTGCTTGTGTAAACTTTTTTAAATTTGATTAATTATTTATTTTATAAACATAACAAAATAACTGCTTACATAAATCTTGATTTGCCAATGGCCATGATGTCAGGTGTGCGGATATATAACGACAGGTTGATTCTTATTTGACATTCTTTATTATTTAAACGTGTTTTGTATTGCAGTAACTTTAACTAGAAATGCATAAACAATGCAACCAATGGGTATAGGCACATGTTATTGAACCAACTAATATCAATATATCAAGCCCTAATTCCCAAAGCATTTGGCAATAAACATGCTTACAAAATTACATTATAAAACGAGAGAGAGAGAGAGAGAGAGAGAGAGAGAGAGAGAGAGAGAGAGAGAGAGAGAGAGAGAGAGAGAGAGAGAGAGAGAGAGAGAGATTCACATTCAATCAAATCCCTGTTTTATTTCTTTTCCAATTAAGAGATATCACCTTATTTTCTGATCGCCATATCTGAGTAAATCTACTTAAATTCTAAGAGAGGTTGTAACTGTCCTATTAATAGATTTCGATTATGACTGTATAGGGGGACAAACACAAAAATAGTAATTAAAGTCTTCACATGGGTTGCTGCATCTACATTCAGCTGTACTACCTTTTGTTCTAAAAAATCATAATCGAGAAATCTGGCAGGATTTCTCAAACGGAAATGAAGTATGTTTAAATTACGTAAATCTCATACCTAAAAACATTTGTCATGTATTATTTCTGTCTTACTGGTGATTGATTTAAATGTATTGGGAGAAGGAGAGTTCCTTATAGAAATATCTATGTCATACCACTTTTTTGTTGTTGATGAGGAAAAGAATTTCGCACGCTTAAGAGATAACCTGAAGTTCTGGTGATTGGAAACCACGTGAGAAATAAAAGATTTATGTTAAGATTATATTTCACATCTCAAACAATCAACGATTTCATTTTTACATTATCTTTTTATGATCTCTAACGAAACGAAAGAGAAACAATGTCGTGAAAGTTTCGATATCATGTCACACCTTCAAACAGGAAATCGTTGTGTGTTTAAAGTTCCTTTATTGGTACCCCTGGTCTAGCGATGACATGCAAATATATATTTGCTAGCTGGTTTCTACGAATGCACCTCACGTCACCGACCGTCGGGTCGTGTCATTAATTAATACATGTCGCTTTATGTGGCGCCTGGACTCCCGCTCTGAGAGAGCCCTTATTATTAATGAAATACTATGAACGACTTATACTTTAATTAAGAATAAATTAATGATTCGTGGTGATGATAAGTCTTATTAATTCCATATCTTTCCTTTTCCTGGTTTACTTAAACATCTAAGTTACCAATCGATCTTGTGATACTTTTTCTATTAATATCAGTCTTTTAACATTTATATATTGTCTCGGCGAAGAGTATATGTCATATGGAATTTACCAAAAAGAGTTCAAAGTGTATGAGTTAAGCCTCTCGGCGTGTATATTATGGACTGTTGCATGAGTTTTATACAGATTTAATTCAATTCGAAATTAACACGAGCAATCAATTAATTTTATCTACGACAGATAAAAATTGTAAGACTATACATTTTTCATTTGTAAATCAACTGTCATGTGATATGTTTGCCAGGAAGGCGAAAAGTCGTTTTTAGTATAATCAGGCAAACTTACTAGGGAAATAGACTCATAATTGGTTGATTTTCAATTTGTACGGTGATATGATTCTTTGGAATTTTAAAACAGCCGGCTGCACAAGGACATTTAAACACACGGGGTTTAACAAATATATATATATATATATATATATATTTGCAGTTAGAATTCACAATGTGAGATAAATGCGAAATATTTATCAACAGTAATTTATACAAACAGCTGAACGTTGCTCTTGAATAGTTCATTGCTTATTTGATTTTTGTTCTTTGCAGAATGCTTGTTTGGTCATTCCTGGTTTGTCTGTTAACCGGTCCTGTCGATACCATCAGTAAGTATTGCATAGTGATGAATATCTACCTTAAAACAGCTTCATGACTCGATACAGAACGCAGGTGTCTATATCTATTAATTCATGCCAGTGACAAAGTCATTACAAATATATAAACATTTATACAACAAATACGTATACTCAGTACAGTAAACACTATAGCAACAGCTTACATTTCTCTGTGTACAAGAATTTGAGTAAAAGATAATAGTCATACATGATCATGCTTTAACAGTTACAGTGCAATAATACTAAGAAGCTGAGAAATACACCTTCTCTACAAAATTTAAGAATTCGTTTCATGTCACCTTTGCTTTTCTAGCCCCCACCCCTAGAATCTTTGTTGTCATTCCAGAATACTAAGCCTGGGCGCTTCTTTTGATTTACTTATTTGTATTGTTGGATTGCTCAATATTTTCATGGCAGGTGTCGTTGATGAAAAAGGAGACGCTTACTTTTCTAGAACACCTGGTTTGATTCTGCTTATATTTTGCCAGAAGTCTCCATGTAAATTTATTTGTGCTCATAGTTTGCTCCAACTTTATTGGCATGTTTGTTTTGTTGATACTTTGCTGTAGTTTTGATGCTATTGAATATGACTTTGAATTGTGATTCTGTGACATTTTGTATTTTAACGAATGTTTTAGTAACATGCTACCTGAGCTCTTCCAAGTGGAAAACCTTAACCCTACGAATGTTCAGAAGAATTGAATTATATTTCGTTTTAATTATGGTTGAATGATAAATTATCTTAAATTACTGCTACCTTATTTCCTTGAAATCGATATTTCCTTGTTGTTGTATATGTCTACTGTAATGGGCCTACCGTGAAATACCATCTATAATCTGTCACTGAACATTTCCATGCCACAATTAAATGTTCAATCTCATTCTGGTTCATCAGAGTTACTTCCCTTCGTTTCACTTGATACCGGAAAGATTTTCACCATCTATAACAAATTCGTTTCTTAGGAGAGATTTTTCTTAGTGGAATCACAACGATAATTTCAATTTTATTTTCAGGGGGGATAACGTTGAAAGAGTTTTGCGGATGTTGGAATGCCTCTGTATCTAGGACCGGTAATGTCTTACTTGTTCATATTAGCTTCGTCAAGAACTGTTGGGAATCACCGTCCCAAGATTATGATGGTTTTCCAATTATCCATTACGACAGTGCCATGCTGTTTAAGATCGGTATCAGAGAATCTTTTAAGGAGATGCTGAAAGTAGAAAAATTACAATGTCAGATAAATGTAAGTATTTTTCTACAATCTGTTAATCTGTTTGATTTATTTCTTATTTTTATTTTTTGAATACTTTAAATAAAGTACACAGATACACACAAAGATACAGCTCGCAAACGCGCACTCTTGACGCATTAGAAAATATCATCATCATCATCATCATCTTCACCATCGCCGTCGTCTCCGTCAAGGTCAACTTAGAATATATGATAACATGTTGCAGATGTACTCTTCGATTCGATTTGAAATCTTCTAGATATATTTCAACAAATACGATTCATAGTTACATTTATATATGATCATTTTCATATTTTCAGAATAAGAATGCAATAATTTTGCTCCCCTAGCGGTCAGTTATATGATCGGAAAACAAGTATTTGTTGCTTGCATTGTGTTTCTCTATCAACTCGTGACTTCCTAACATTAAGATTCAAATAAAGTAATATATATCTCTTGTATCACTTAGATGATCCTTTGACCCATAGCTCATATAGGATATCTCTCTTACTTACAGAAAGAAGACTGTTCGACTCATATCAAAATGGTTCGGGACACAAGCTTAGAGGTATGATATGAACATTTTTTAACTTAATATCAAAGTCGAGCGTTTGTAAAATGTACCAAATAAATAGTACATATAGAGGGAATTCAGTAGAATTTTAAATCGAAAAGTTCAATATTGAATTCAAGTTTAGAAAAGTTTTGATGGAATTTTTATTCTTTGATCATTATTTATTTCATTTATTTATTTACTTTTTCATTTCATTTTTATCTATTTATTTATTTATTTATTAGCTCAGCAAAAAGCACTCAAATATTTCCGTGACGATTTCATACTCGGTCATTCTATAAGAAAGTGTTAGTAACATTAATATTTCTCATTTCAAAATTAATTTGTTTCTTTTTGTTATTTCATTAAATCAGTGTATCTTAAGATAATACAATTTTAAAATATCTATGTTTATATCTCCCTATTTCTTCATCCTTTTTTTAGATTGTACCTTTTTGTAAATTTTGCGATAGCTGCATGGGAAAGAAGACAGGTAGGAACAAACTGTATAACTTTAAAATTATACATGAATAAAAAGTTAATCCTTGTAATAGACTTTTCCCCACAACTGTTCCATAATTTGAGACTAACAATGTACGTAAGTATGAATGTAAATGTTATTACAATTACGTCCACAAAGACTTAACCTAACATAATTAACAAATTATCAAATGGAAAACATAAATATAAAGATTCTGAATCAACTGAGAAAAACTAGCGTTTTGTCTTTAATGGAGTGAAAATTGGCATATTCAATAAACAAAATGTAGTGTTAATTAACATAAGAAAAGTGAATTGCTTTCTTAAGGAAAATGATTCTCCTCTGCAAGTACAGGTCAACAGACTCGGTCCGTAAATATCTATAGTTGTTTACAAGTAGACACTTCTCAGAAAAATAGATATTATGTTCCAGACTACATTACCTATCAAAATAGCAGTAAAATCAAGGGTAAGATAAAAATCAACATTATGGATCCACCTGACAAGGAATCATACAAACCAAAACTTCTGGTTCTGGGAGGCGTCGTGACAGCTCTAATCATCATCATCATATTTGCGCTGGCTTGCTTTATTGACAAACACAGGAGAAAAAAAAGAGGTAATCAAACACATTGGCAGAAACAAGATTTTGCATCAACAATTGTCATGATATCTTTATTTGACAAATAATTCAGTTTTTCAAGTTCAGTTTGTTTTAATTGTTCGGCCTCACCACTGAATTATATCTAAAACACGACAGAACACATTTTTAACCAAATCGATACCCCAGAAACAAAACAAAAAAGATTACATATGTTCTATATTGTACTATAAGCCATCCAATGATCGTTAAGTTATCGATTGATTATTTTCAGAAGAAATGTCACTATTGACTCCGGACGATTTCACAGGTAAGGGAAGTTATTATATGCTTATTATAATGAGATGAATTTTATTTATTTTTTTAGCGAATTTGAATATATTGAATGCTCCTCGGTAAACTTGGCATCTAGATATTAATAATCCATATGAGGCAAATGATTGAATCAAGGTATTGTCCATTTGTTCTTACACTGTAATAAATGACAGATATATTACATAGAAAACAAATACTTCTGTAATCTGGAAATATACTATATATATATAATATTTTCATCGTGAAATGTAAAACGTCATTATGTGTCTATTGTAGATGTTTCCATCCAGTTACCAATCGGAAGGCCGGAAGTGTCACCCAACTTAATTATCAATTCACCTCAAATTCACACACCACCTGTGAAAGTAGGCGTCTTCTACCCTCATCTACCAAAGGAATTATTTTCTGAATCGATTGAGAATCCTTTAGATAAATGCGTTCAACGTATGATGGACATCCTTACATCAGTGCCCGAATTAGACGTAAAATATTTACATTATGATTTTAATAACTTCTTTGATGAAATTGATACTGTGAGCAGTTCACCAAACATCATTCTTGTTTTATGCGATAGACTGTGTGAACTTAGCCAAGAAGTTGCTACCTCGGACGTAAATATCACAGCAGAGCAAAGGAGAGAAATCGAAACATTGCTTTTGAAAAGGATACATCAACAGTATTATCTAAATAGCACAAATATCTTCTTTGTAAATTTTGAACATCTAAAACAGCAGGAAAATGTTCTTGGAACAGCTCGAAAGATGTTTACCAAGCACAAAGTCTACAGTATTGGGCCTCTGATTGAGACGGACCAACACTTCAGTAAGCTCCTGCATTCAATTTTATCTGACGTCATCAGTAATACTAAAGACCGTCAAGAACGGATAAAATCGATATTGAGTCCAGAAACAATATGAGAGTTCCAAAAAATCTTTCCGTTTAATCATTGTCTTCTGAAGAGTAATTAGATTATTAAAGACCGCTCAAATATTCCGCTCAAGTGCTGAAGAAGAAATAATTCATACATTAAATAAGCTCAAGTATCTAAAAAAAAGACACCTCTTTTGTTTATATGTAAATAAATAAATACTTTGCTCGTTTGAATTTCGACTGATGTCATTTGGGATATTGGGTTTGCTTTTTAAACAAGTCATATGATTTAATGATCGTAAAATTATTGTTGTTTTTTTCATTAATTATTTAACGTTTACTGAAAGATAAGTGCTATTGGAATATACATTCGTATACAAAGCAGAACGCGTGCACTTTTAGTGTAAATCCTTGTCATGAAATACAACTTTCTATAGAACTAATAATATACTACTGTATATACAGCAATACTGGTACACAGTATAATATCTTATAACAAAAATAGCAGACATAATATAATTGATTGTTCAATACAAGCTAATGTGATAGATTCATTGCTTATTATAACAGCCATGTTCAAATGTATATCTTTTGGTATCAAATGAGTTTTCCATTATATTTTGTTAGAAAATAATCAGCAAAGTTTTAATAAAAGCGGAAATTTCTTATCTTTGTTATTTCATTAGTTTGTCGATTGCGTGTGCACGTGTCGATATATTCTTGTGTTGTTTTAAGAACTCATGGTCTGGTTCTTTCTGCAACATGAAGCTGGACGCGTTTGATGTTCGTTTGTTTACCTGTTGGTTTGTTGTTATATACCTTGTTCCCTTTTGAGAACGTGACATTACTTCTTGGTATTGACATGGCGGGTGTCATCGACGAGGCAAAGACCCTTATCCTTCAGGAATACATAGTCTTAATATGAGTTTGGATTATGATTAAGTTGACATGCTGGTATATAAGTTTTTAGGTAGTTGGTAAGCAGTGAATGTTTGGTTTTTGAAAATGAAATGTTTATAATTACGAAATAGGGAGCGCATATTTAAAAACATTATTGTTCGAAACAGGAAAAATATGGGAACTTGAATTGTCCCTATTCGGTAATTTCGACGTTTGAATCGGGAAAGTGGAAGAGTTTATATTCACACCAAGTCAAATATTTGTATAAATAAAACTGCAGAAATAATCGGAATGTCTCTCATTATTTACTAAGTGTACATTTTACAACTATATCTTTAACGAGTTAACATTTCTACTTGATGTTTAATATGTTAGATGAACTAATTGGTCAATATTACTGTGTTATAGATACACTAGAATCGACGACTTCTCAAATAAATCAAACGTTTTAGAACAAGATAGACAATAATACGAAAAGGACGCCGTGTGTATGACATCATACACATAAACAATAAAAAACGAAAATAGGACAAATGTCGCTGTTTAGTATATAAGAGCCAACCGGTACACACAATTGATCATAATCAGGTTATATTAGTGTAGATGAATTAGAATGATCCCATTGTATCGTTCAAACTGTCGAATATACCAGAACGTAGCGGATATTGATAGATAGTTGATACACTATAGGCTGTTGTGTTCGTTCAATTTGTAATGTAATCCCGGGTGTTTTTTAAATTGCATTATTATCTTTCGTTAGAAACTGGATACATACCGACTTTCTTCCACTGTCCGAGAAGTCTATTATTTTTACATGCTATCATTAAGTATCACGGGATAGGTAACGTATATAGAACGTATGTGAAAGAGACCCGCAACACCAGAGCATAATATGTAGCTTAAAATTCTCACCATATTTCAGTTTTTACGCGAAAATATTGCAACGTAGTTGGTTATTTTAAACATGAATACCTCCTAACAGGTTGATTTTATTCGTTGCATTGATTTTTAAGTGAAACAAGCACCATGTATGCAAATGACTCTGAAACCACATAGTCGACGTCATGACAACAATATAAGAAATGCAACAAAAGAGAGGTGGTGGGCGTGTCTTTGCTTTAAAAAGGGGGACTTTTAAACGTCACTATGTCCAAATTTGACAACATATTTAAATGAGTTATTTAAATATGCAAATTGGATTTTCCCGATATTTTCGATTTACGCTTGATCAAGATTTACTTATTATGTAAATAATCAACTCGGACAAGATGACTTCGATTTTAATTTGCTGGTGATTGGAATATCGAGAAAAGCGGACTTACTTATTATTTTTTCACTTTTTTTCAAGGTTTTATCATCGCAACGCAGTAAAATGTTACAATGAACTTGTTTGTTTGTCATTGACTGATATATGACTAACCAGTAACCATTGTTCGATTCCAAGATAAGCTTTTGTAACGAGTATACATTATTCATAGAAAATGTGAAACAAATATTATTGATTATTTGAGATGTGAAATTTAATCTTAACATAAATCTTTTAATTCTCACGTGATCTCCAATCACCAGAACTTCAGGTTATCCCTTAAGCGTGCGAAATTCTTTTCCTCATAAACAACAAAAAAGTGGTATGACATAGATATTTCTATAATGAACTCTCCTTCTCCCAATACATTTAACTCAATCACCAGTAAGAAAGAAATAATACATGACAAATGTTTTTAGGTATGAGATTTACGTAATTTAAACATACTTCATTTCCGTTTGAGAAATCCTGCCAGATTTCTCGATTATGATTTTTTAGAACAAAAAGTAGTACAGCTGAATGTAGATGCAACAATCCATGTGAAGACTTTAATTACTATTTTTGTGTTTGTCCCCATATACAGTCATAATCGAAATCTATTAATAAGAGAGTTACAACCTCTGTTTGAGAATTTAATGAGATTTACTCATATACGGCGATCAGAAATTAAGCAAAGATGATGATATATTTTAATTGCAAAAAAAGTAAAATAGGGATTTGATTGAATGTGAATCTCCCTCTCTCTCTCTCTCTCTCTCTCTCTCTCTCTCTCTCTCTCTCTCTCTCAATTTGATACAGTTTTCAATATTTATCTTAAGTGTCAAAACGAGCATGATTTTTCTTTTCACTCTATTTCCTCAACAGGTTTTCTTACTGATCACAAAGGACCACAGGTAAATATATTTGTTACATGTATAACACAAACACGATATAATTTATTGATTTGAAATGAGAATTAATATCTTTGTTTGTCGGTTATTGTTCCAGATCTTTAAATGTTTTGATGAGCGCGATCCATGTGTTTTATTTTTAGAATTCAAGCTGAATGGATATACGTCACAGAACATTATTCCAAAGGTTAAATATCCCATGGTGCATTGTCCGACTACAAAAGACCTAGCGAATCGAGTCGGCGTATGTATTGATATAAGTTTTATGAAGTGTTGTTGTGTATTGGTACCGAAAAATCTTCGGCTGTGCATGGCTCTGTTAATATGTAGTTTGTGATTCATTGAGATCTATATAGCAGTTTGAAGAACAGTGACAAGGTAAGTTAAGTTGCTTATGTTGTGTTAAAGCCTTAAACAATCTTAGTTACCATATATCACAGTGTAGGTATATTTATGTCTTCAGTTTGATGACCGTGTTATACAGTTGTTTGTGATATTTGACATATTTGACATAGACGCCATCTTTGACGTGACAAACAACTTGAAAGTAATGTCTATCTAGAAACATGAATCCAGAGGCGTTCTTTGCCTTCTATGATTTAACATGTTGTGATTTCTCAGTCCGTCTGTCTCTCTCTATCTCTATCTCTTTGTCTGTCTGTCTCTCGCTATTTCTCTCGCTCCCCCCTCTCTCTCTGTAGGCGAGGGCGTGTGGGTGAGGGAGGATGTTCCTGTGTGCTTGTAAGGGTGTTGGTCAGTGTATATATATGTGTGTGTTTGTTTGTCTGTCCATCGCTATCTCTATTTCTATATCGCTCCTATCTGTCTCTCTCGCTATTTTCCTCTGTCTGCCTTTCGATGTTTGTCTCAGTGTCTGTCTGCCTCTCTCAGTCTCTATGTCTGTCTGTCTCAGTCTCTGTGTCTGTCATTCTACCTCTATGTCTGTCTGCCTCTCTCAGTCTCTATGTCTGTCTGCCTCTCTCAGTCTCTATGTCTGTCTGTCTCAGTCTCTGTGTCTGTCTTTCTACCTCTATGTCTGTCTGCCTCTCTCAGTCTCTATGTCTGTCTGTCTCAGTCTCTGTGTCTGTCTTTCTACCTCTATGTCTGTCTGCCTCTCTCAGTCTCTATGTCTGTCTGTCTCAGTCTCTGTGTCTGTCTTTCTACCTCTATGTCTGTCTGCCTCTCTCAGTCTCTATGTCTGTCTGTCTCAGTCTCTGTGTCTGTCTTTCTACCTATATGTCTGCCTGCCTTTCTTAGTCTCTTCCCCAGTCTCTATCCCTCTTATGTATTTATAGCATACGTGTTAACATAAAAGACATGATATCATGATACGGACAAGAATCAATGATATATTGGAGACATGAAAGACATGACGTTATGATACGGACAGGAATCAATGATATATTGGAGACATAAAAGACATGACATCATGATACGGACAGGAATCAGTGATATATTGGAGACTTTGTAATGTATAAAGTACCTATTAAAGAGTAACCATCTTAATAACATTGTGTATTGGTGCCATATAGTCAACGATGGTGATGATAGTGTGCCATGCCAAAGACTAAAATAAAAAAAAACATATACTATTTTACCATATAAAGTACCTCATCTGAGAAGGTTATAATCCAAACATAAACTTATGGTGAAGTCAGCGGTTCTACAATGACTTCAATGGATCAGACCTTTTGTTCTGCAGGACGAAGCTCTGGTTAAAAATCTTTCTTCTAGGTATGATAGTATCGGTGACGCGGGAAAGTAGAAGTAAGGCCATTTTTTTTACGATTGTTATGTTACACAGCCGAAAAGTGTTGGGAAACAAATTTGTACATCCTTATCAAATATCGAGAGTAATAATAATTAATTTTGATGCTGAAGACGACTTCATTTTACAAAACAAATTGCGGATTCATAATTTCGAAAATGCCCTTATGAACATTGGAAATCACCATCATTGTTTTACCCTAGATGGCACTAAATAAGCGAGTTTGGAGAGGGAAAAAAGGCCGAGAGGAAAATTGAAAAAATCTGAAATGCAACAGTTAATCATTGTATATAAATCCGCTATTCAAGTACGATTGATTATGGTACAATTTGGCATGTACAAGTGGTCCGAATTATTGTAATAGGACAAGCCACACATTTCGTCTCCCTTTAGATGATGGCGTTTTACTAAGAAATGTGTCTTTTGTCGATATAACTCGGGTACAGTATTTTTAGACCGTTTCACAAGGAACATGTTTATCAAAGTTTATACCCTTCCGAAACGCCCGGTCTTATTCTCCTCGTACTTCTTCTGAAGTCTGCGTGTAAATCTTTCCTTCGTTCATATTTTCCCCTAGTTTTGATGAATTTGAGTCTGGATTATGATTATGTCGACAAGTTGGTATGTTCTTTTTTAACAGACAATGGCGGCAATGTGGATATCATGGCTACTTACCTTGTCCTGCATCTTGACAGTCCACTCTCTAACAAGTGAGTTTGTAGGACATTTCTTAAACTTTAAAATGAATCTCAGCTTTTCAAATATGGTAGCTGTAAACATTTTGTTGATAAAAATAACACGCCTTGTTTTAGTGCATTCTTTTCTGATATTCTAATATCGCTTTTGGTGGAATATCTAAAATCAACAACATTTTTTCTTACAAATGGTCTTTGTCTTCATACACTTTTCTTTAGCGGAAAGTACATCTTTATTTTTTTTTTAATTTTTAAAAAAATGTTATTTATTAATTACCTGTGCTGTATACAAAACTGACAAAGTGACGTAAGACAATCGCTTGTATTTCAAGTGATAAGTGTCTGATATAAGGTAGCAATAACAAAACCTATAAATATTAAGATATTAAAAACTATCATTTTGAGACCCAACACTGCATTCCGTGATCAAAATAACATACTTTTTCAAGAACAAGCACAATGTTCCTTTTTCATCAAACGTACAAAGATATTTGTTGTTCTTGATATATTTTAAAGGTAACATAACAGTGACAGAATTCTGTAGCTGCTGGTCAGTCCAGTCAACAACAGTCCAAGGAAACAATTGTGCCGTGATGCTTGACTTTGGGAACTGTTGGTTGACAAGTAACACTACGGTATCGCCTGGAGATGACGTCATCTCGGACACAGACCTGGTGCAGTTTGGACTGACAATTTCCAGCTCCGTATCACAGATACGGAACTGTTCAGTCGATGTAAGGTTTAGTAAATTTGATTTACCAGTAAAGTTTACCAGTATGTTGGGTATTATACTTTTATAATTAAACATAAGATAAATAAATGAATGAATGAATCGATCAGCTTGTAGAACGATCAATAAATCAATTCTATACAATATTATGCAATCAGGCGTCGCAAGTCTGACCTCCTCAATACACAGGTAAAATTCCAGTAGACACTTTTAAAAAGATTTGGAGGTTTTCTGACTGTCGCACATATACAACTCTTCGACTTCCGGAAACAGAGATTTAAAAGAGAAGCTAGAGATATTGCACGAAACTCCCGAGTCTCAAAATCAGTTAGGTAAGGTGTGTATGTTACCACTGGAAGCACGTTCCTGTAAGGATAATTAGAATTCTGTTTTATTAATATTTTATATATATTTTTGTTCGCTCGACAGAATGTTTGCAGTTTGGCTTTTGGAATTGGAAGTTTTGACGTGGGGAAAACGTACACTGCTACAGTGAGTATGACTCTCACGTGTCATAGCTAAATACAATGTACAATATTAAATTTTGTCATGGCAACTATCTTTGATGTTGCAGCTTCAGGATACCAATGCCTAAACAGTAGCCATTAGCCTATCGGTTTCTCATGGACGTTTTGAAAAAAAAGACCCAAACTGTTTTTAAACAACATTTACCTTACATGTTGTAGCATCGATAGAAAATAGCGAGGGGAGAAGGGGGAAACATCAAACAATACGAGCGAGCATGCATTTTCCCCCATTAAGTTAACTTTCTCTACAAGTATAAATGAAAGTTAAATAGAATTTTTCATTTTCTTTGTAGATACGACCCCAGTGTGATACGTGTAGTATATGCAGTGACAAGGTGACAGGTATGTCCTGAAATAAAGTAACATTATATATTTTACTACAATTATGAGGCATATTCTGACAGTTTGGATTCATCTGATATTATTGTTAACCTTAATGGTATTCCGAGTGACGTCATACTGTAGGAGGAAACCGGAATACCCGGTAAAAACCGGCAGAAGAGAATTTACGTTATTTGTTACCAATATTTATTCGCTAATTTGACAATTCAATTCATTCGTTAATGTGTCATTTTAAGTTGCATTCGTTCATGTGACCATCATAGTGTATTCATTATTGTGTCATTTTGAACTGTATTCGTTATTGTGTCATTTTAAACTGCGTTTATTAATTTAATATTATGTTTATTCGTTAAGACAAATATAACCATTTTGATTAATTCATTAATATGTCATTTGAAGCTTTATTCGTTCATTTAATAATTTCAGTTTATTCGTCAACTAATCATATTCGTCAATTTTGACACCCTAAGACCCTTTTAAATAGTTTACTAATTGTTTATCTCAAAGCACGTAACTTGATATATCCATTTTTCCCTTGATGTTGATAGGGTAATTATCTACGCTCTACTTTACTTTAAAGAACGTTTTTCTCATTTTAGAGTTTTACAAAGCTGTACCTACTACTACGACAGCACCAACTACTACTAAGAAATACAAGCCACTCCAACATAAGTATCTGTTCCCTACGTTGGTTATTGGATTCGTCGTCTGTGTTATCGTCGCCTTTATCTACGTCATCAGGCGCTGGCGACAACGGATTCATCACGGTATGTCATCGCCTCATCATTACAATTATTGTTCTGTGTGATAATCCATAATGGTATAGCTTACTATCGATAACCGTGAATACTACAGCTATTTACCAGTTGAATGTGTGTGTACATGGTTTTAGAAGCATTGCTTATTTGAATGTCGCTGGCTTAAACTAATTATTCATTTGTTGTGCTGATTCAGTTATTAACATTCACATTTGTTATTTCTATTTTAAAGTCACAAAATATTTGTGATTTGGTAAATCCTTATAGATAATTGTAAGAGCTTCTGTTGTTATTATTCTAGCATTATAGCACTTTAACCTGGGATGGAAAACGAAATATCTTATTAAGTCGAAACAGCAACAGAAAATGATAGAAAAAAGAAAAAAAGGAAAAAAAAGAACTAATCCTCTGGTGTTTGACCGGTAAAAGCATACTTTAATATGAAATTAATTTTAACGCAACATTTTGGACTTATTTTTTTTATCATTTTTGTGTTTTTACATACTTTATTATCTGTAAGTATATTTATAACCTCAAAAGAGCGCTTTACTGCACGTTTTGAGGAAATTTCGTGAAATCTGAAGTGAAGCAGGACCACTTTCATTAAATTTAGAGTCCGAAAGCAAATATTTAAGCTTGTCTCTTGATCATAGAAAAAATGGTTATATGGTGAAACTTGTAAGAATTACAGAACAGCAACTTCCTCTTTTTTAAATATGAAAAACATAATCGAGGATTTCATAATTTCTATCCATACACAAAGTCTTAAAAATGTGAAATACATGTCTCAAAATTTTCGTTTTTGGTCGCTATTCAGCTTTAAGCTCGTTTAATCAAATGGAAACTTTTCAAGTTATTTCTTAATAACCAAGTGTCATACTCTTTTTTATAGATGACGAGAATTTATTTCAAAAAGATTACCACAGAATCACCCAGGAATAGAAATAAGAATAATATAAACGAAAATGTGTCACAAATATTCTGACGAGAGTGTCAGAAAAAGTTGTGCATTTACATAATGATTTTTGACCTTTAATTTACTTTCTAAATTCTAATGTTTCAAAAAAAGTCATCACCAGAACAAAAATGTTTACTATTTGATTATTTTTGACTTCTCACAGGGGTACATCTTTACTGATAGAAATCATTTACACCACGGGTGCCAGCACAGTCTACCATTGTATGACACTGACACAGTCGTGTATTGCTGGCTCGTGAACTGCACGCGCCGTTAATGGTCAACATTTGTAATAACTTACGTCACATACATATGTTCTGTTCAAGTTGTGTTTCGATTGTTTCGAAAAGAAAAAAAAAACTGAAACAAAAAGGACCTACTTTCCCGGAAGTCCTGAAAATACTATGAATTTCTAGACATTTTTTTCAAGATACAAGGATATGTTTTTCATTAGTATTAATAATAAAAAAATCTTAAGAAATAACAATCTTGACATAAATTAATGGCGTTCGATATCATTAACTTTACTTATTAACTTACTTATCTTCACGCTTGAAGCAACATACTTACAATACTAATAACCTCTAGTTTCATTTGAGTGCCATGTTTCCTTTTTACTAACAAATCATGTACTCACCATTTACAGAATATAAAGCCACATTTTTGTATGAACCTGACAAAGAGATCGTGAGGACTAATCCAGTAGCTGGTTAGTACTAACACTGTTTGATATTGTGTGAACCTGACACAGAGGTTATGGGGAGTACCTGGTTAGTACTAACACTGTTTAATATTGTATGAACCTGACACAGAGGTTGTGGGTGAGTAGCACAGTTCCTTGTTAGTACTAGCATTGTTTAATATTGTATGAACCTGACACAGAGGTTGTTGGGGGTAAACCAGTAGCTGGTTAGTACTTACACTGTTTAATGTTGTATGAACCTGATACAGAGGTTGTGGGGAGTAGTCTAATTTGTTTGTTTCTTCAATGTTATTAATTTCATTCCATTTCGGTTCATACAATCCACTATTTCGGACAGAATAAATTAGATATACCTCCCATCAATTTTTCGGAATGCATCTATCGCGCTATAAAACTAACACTTTACTTTTTGCTTTAAAATTACTGTGTTGTTAAGCTTGTAACCCTACTGGAATAAGAATATGTAATATAATGCAATGTCCTGTTATTTTAGCCCGTAAAGAGCGTGCAGCTGCTGCAGCAAGTTTTGCAAACATTCAAGCCGAGGCTGAAAACAACAACACAAGGGGAGACAACCGGGGTCCGCCTCCTCAGTACGGTAGCAACGAACAGTACAACGGCGGTGCGCACTTCCTCAGCATAAGCGAGAAGCACGGTATAGTGAATGACGGTTTCGATGACAATAACTGGTAATTAGTTTATTTATTTAAATAAACTAGAAAATATCAGAAAGAAACCATGCAAAGTATTCTTTGTCCATGGTATTCGCACACTCTTTAAAGTTTAAACAAACCCACAACTGGACTGAAAATAGTATTTTTGCGTTTTCTTCCAAACAAGTGTCAGGTTTTAAGACGTTGAATTGAAAAAAATAATAGAAAAAAAAACTTATCATATACCCATCATTGTATATCAGATATAAAATTTTAAAACACATTTCCGGAAGAATTCGAATAAGAAATAACTTGAATGAAATTACTACCATCACAGTGTTAACTTGGCTAATTGCTGACCTCACATGATCATAATGGACCTGATATTGGGCCTTAAACAGGATCACGTGGTGTTTTTTCTGTGTTTTCCCTCTTCTTAAAGACCATCAAGTTGTCTTATTTTGAACAAATATGATTTTGAATAGTATTTTTAATGTAGTTGAGCTGAAAGTATTTTCCTGAAAAATAGAAAAATAAAATAAAATAAATCAATTGTTGTTCGCAGAATGCAAAATTCGTCCTTAAAACACGAGTGTATATATAGCGAGATATGTCCTTTAGTAACACGTGTGTATATATATCGAGATATGTCCTTTAGTAACACGTGTGTATATATATCGAGATATGTCCTTTAGTAACACGTGTGTATATATATCGAGATATGTCCTTTAGTAACACGTGTGTATATATATCGAGATATGTCCTTTAGTAACACGTGTGTATATATATCGAGATTTGTCCTTTAGTAACACGTGTGTATATATATCGAGATTTGTCCTTTAGCAACACGTGTGTATATATATCGAGATATGTCCTTTAGTAACACGTGTGTATATATATCGAGATATGTCCTTTAGTAACACGTGTGTATATGTATCGAGATTTGTCCTTTAGCAACACGTGTGTACATGTATTGAGATTTGTCCTTTAGCAACACGTGTGTACATGTATCGAGATTTGTCCTAGTAACACGTGTGTACATGTATCGAGATTTGTCCTTTAGCAACACGTGTGTACATGTATCGAGATTTGTCCTAGTAACACGTGTGTACATGTATCGAGATTTGTCCTAGTAACACGTGTGTACATGTATCGAGATTTGTCCTAGTAACACGTGTGTACATGTATCGAGATTTGTCCTAGTAACACGTGTGTACATGTATCGAGATTTGTCCTAGTAACACGTGTGTACATGTATCGAGATTTGTCCTAGTAACACGTGTATACATGTATCGAGATTTGTCCTAGTAACACGTGTGTACATGTATCGAGATTTGTCCTAGTAACACGTGTGTACATGTATCGAGATTTGTCCTAGTAACACGTGTGTACATGTATCGAGATTTGTCCTAGTAATACGAGAGTATGTGTCCCAAATGTGTGCTAGTAACACAACTTTATGTTTTTCTTTGATTTTCAGATTATTTTTTGTGTGGACACTAGGATCATGTGCCAGGATGTTGTAGGACGAAGCAATGGCCGGATGTTGTTGGATCATTGCTGTTAAAAACAATGTTTGCCCTATTTATGGTAGGGCAGAAGTACAATATTACAACGGGTGGAAGAAAGTGAAATAATGCAATATTATTTTGGCAAAAGATATTTCACTATACTAATTTCTTTCCGTTTGATAATGTATTTTTGCTGATATGTCGCTGTGTTTTCATTATTGATGCATGTGCATCGCGTGTTTATCTTGAAGACAAACCTTCAAAACCAGAACGAAGTTTCCGCCATAAATTCACTTATCGATTTTTAATGTGCTGGATACATTTGTATATAGGTCTGATCGAAAATTCAAATGTGTCATGAATTTGAAGAGGAGTGTCCATTATCACCTACCCACTGTATTAACACATCGCATTATTTATAAATGCTGTATGTGTGTGTAAGGTATGATTTTGTCCTTCATTGATAATACAGTTATGTATACAACACCTTGGCAGCAAATTATGACCATTTGAGCAGATCGTAAATAAAAACACGTCTTTTTTTTCCCTCGGCTGTAAGAAACCCTTAGTTGTGTATTGATAACAAATAACACTAATCGACGTTGTAAGTGTGAAAAATTAAGACGCGGGAATTGCCACTTATATATTATGTACCTCTCTGTGGCGTTACAGTTGCCTTCCTTACATGTATCAACATATTTTGTTGGCGTGACGTTTATACAGAATCTCATCACAGCCACAACAACATATTGCTTTATCTCTTTTTTGAAATTGGACACTAGATGTCTCGCCGCAAGTGATCTCACTTTTTTTAAATAATGAGAAATCTGTGTAAAATCGTCTCAGATCAGAAACTTTCTTAAATACTATTTTTATCCTATCCATTTTCTTAAAATCAAATGAGGCGATTACATTTCATTCTTGTGTATTTTACATGTTTTGAATTCTATGTATATTGGAATCAGCATATTTTTTTTGTTTATGTTTTTTTTGTTTTTGTTTTTTATATATATACATTGTAATGAGTTAATTACATTCTGATGTTTATTGAAATTTTAAATACAGTAAACAAATTATATATGTTATTACTTGGGCATTCATTATGAATGTACAGTGTCTTTATAATGTATGACTCCCGTGCCTTTGTCGATGTAATCCGCCTCTTTGTTATTACAGTAAACATTTGTATACGTGCCTTGATATAAAAACAAACATGTGATTAACCAAGAAGTCATTGTTATCATTATTTCACGTTTTTTGTTACATCAGTAACTAGTTTGCTCCTAAATACATGTGTATGTTTTGTGAATAAATCGTGACAACAAAAATCATCTGTGTATTTTATTTTTCTATATCTCCAAAAACACAACCTTCTCTGTGTAATCTGTTGACAAAGGAAAACTGCTGACACTAAATGTGCCATGAGAGAAACCAAATCTCGCCAAAAATATATTTCTGTATGTTGCTGATGAAACGATGGTCAACAATGACGACGACGACGACGACGACGACGACGACGACGACGACGAAGAAGAAGAAGAAGAAGACGACGACGACGACGACGAAGAAGAAGAAGAAGAAGAAGAAGAAGAAGAAGAAGAAGAAGAAGGAGAAGAAGAAGAAGAAGAAGAAGAAGAAGAAGAAGAAGAAGAAGAAGAAGAAGAAGAAGAAGACGACGACGACGACGAAGAAGAAGAAGAAGAAGAAGAAAGCATAATCAACCTTCATTGTTTGGAAAAAGAAGAGAAGCGGTTCTTTGTTTTGAGAAAGTATTGTTGTTTTCATTTCCCATGAAACGACCACATTGATTAACTAGAAGCGCATGCGTATGATTTTTTGTCGGGTATTAATACATATGTGTTATTTAAATATGAACGAAAGAATCTGTATATAAGGATGCTCTTTCATCATAATTAATGAAAATTATACTATGTGAATATATAGACACAAGGTCGACCCGAACTGCTTATTAAAACAGCGTTTTGATAATGCTGTTGGTGTTGGAAAGCATGTGTAACTGGACATTGTTCTGTATAAAATTCGATCCGTTATCATCTAGGTTCTTATTTTCAGAAATCGATAAAGCAGGAAACCTTTCTAGATTACAGTCTTTTCCAACGCATACATTTTCAATGTCTCTATGGCAACATTTTCGTTGGCCTCGTCCTATCGATTTGAAATTTGATATGCAGTTTTATTAAGATTTAGGTAATATCACGTTCGTTTTTTACCACGTTTTTCATTTTTTACAAAAAGCCTGTTGGTAATGGTAAATTAAATGAGAGTTAAAGTTGAAACAGTCAAACTAGCAATTAAGCTATGATTTATCATGTCGGCAGTTTGATATCAGGATTACAATTATATTAGTTTTTTTCATGAAATGTCATTAAACATCACCAGGAATCTTTCTGTTTAATATTGTAAAATAGTTAATAAAGTTTATTCTTATATGATCTCAAATTTCTAAACTTCAATGTATCTCCTACACATGCGAAATTGATTTTCACCGCAACTACAAAGATGTGGAATGACACAGATATTAAGAACCTTTAATTCATTTTAATCAGTGAGACGGAAATAATACAAAACAAATGCTTACAGGTAAAGGGTTTTATATAGAGGTTTGTGATGTGCGTACACTTGTAATTACCCGTTTTCGAATTCATCATATTTAAAATCCTTTAGCTAGTACTGACATCTCTTTAATATTCACTTAAAATAACCTTAGTCGTGTTAGGAAATATGTTTATCCAGTTCGGCACTTAAATAATGGCGGTCTTTGGATATTCATTATATCTATATGTCTATGTTTAAGATAATCGTGTTTGCCGATATTTTTCGTTTCGCTATTTAGTTATTTTGTAATATCGATCAACCTGCGCCGTACTTGATTGTTTACGAAACGACGGTTGGTGGTTGCTGGAACACACTGTAATACACGCTCGCTGTGCGTGGTTAAGACTGTATGAGGAAATATTTGGGCCTATGTTCGAGACGATAGGATCGCACAGGGATATATTATAATTACGTGTTGTGAACACAGGTGACACCTATCAGCACCACATAAATAACACGACCTAACGATACATGACTGTTCCTTCGTTGACAATGTAGTCGGACGGTTTATCCGGTAAGCTCATAAGGTTAGAATTTGTCAAAGTGAAAGTTGAACATGTGCACAGACGTGTCACGCGTAAACTAATTGTTTACGCTTACACGTGTATAATGTGTATAATGTGAGATGTCACCTGGATATGTGATTTTACGCCAAATTTTGAATAGATATGTTATCGACGAATAATGGAGATGATGAAATTGACATTGTGTACAGTGTTAAACATATGCTTTATGCGTCTGTTTTTGCATGTAAGTTGCCAGAAACTTTTCAAACATCCACCTTGTGTACCTACGGAAGTGCAGTTCGATAATAACTGCGAGGTATGCACTCGACCGGAACAAAATGGAGTTTGTGATCCTGGATACAAGTGCTCAGATGTAAGTATTTTTTATTTTTAATATCATAAACAGCACATATCTATACCGAATTTACAGAAATGCTACTTATAAAAATATAAATAGATGTTGAAATTAGGGATTTTACATGTTGTATTGCATAAGTTTATTTATGAAAATTCATAAAAGCGCTATATTATATATTCGTTGAAGTTTGGAACTATGTTTCTGCGCAGAGCAATTATTCTGGGGTCTGTCATGAAGCAAAATTGTAAAGTTAATGACAGGTAAACACAGATTGAACAACAAAACTTTTTTAGTCTTGATTGTCTGATTTTCAATCAATGTTGCAGGATAAATAGAATATATGGTCAGTGTCTTAAAATATAACTTACATTTTGGCTTGGTACAGAAATTGAAATGGCAAATTCTTGGTAAGCTTTTTATCTAGTCACTGTTACATATGTCTGTCTGTCAGTCTGTCTGTCTGTCTGAGGGTCCTCCTTCAACAATTTCCTTTAAACAGCTTCTTATTGATAATCAGGATCGAGGCACAGGGTAGAAAAATTGGACGAGTATAATATGAAAGGATAATGAAGAGATACAAATCTGAATGAATCCAGCTTGTTCAGATCAGTGACCTTGACCTTAACATTTTAGTTCACAAGGGTCAAACATATGACAGTTTTCACATAACTTCTAAAAAATACAATTGTTTTGAAGAAATATGAGCTGGTTAACATGGAATGTATATGCTAGTTAGGATGAGGGACTAGCTGCCTTTTTGTTCAAATAAATGATCTTAAGCTACCTTTTCAGTGACAGGGGTCAAATGTGTTGAAATCGTACAAAAAGGAATTCTCAAATTAACCTTGTGACCTGGGGTTATGATATTGGTCCTGCAGTATTTGGAGATGAACTATTTAATTAGTCTGTTCAAATAATTGACCTTTCAAGATCAAATATTGTAATATATAAGGATGGGTCAAACTTATACATCTCATTAAATGTTTATCGGATTTTTTTTTGTGCACCTCTATGTTTTTTCCAAGTTTACTTACCCATTAGAAATTGCAAAAAAAAAAAAAAAAACCAAAAAACTAAAATTAAAATTGCAAAATTTGGATGTCTTCTTCTTTTCATAGTAGCTATGGTTAACATATGAGTAAAACGTCTAAAGTGCACTAGACACCCAGTTTAGTTTGCCTCCAACTGTATGTACAGTTGATTATTATCTTAGAGTAAAACTCTCTGTTTGTCGTATGGTTACCAAACTTATCCTAGTCAATCTGTCTAATACAACATTATCCAATACCTTATGTGGTTAATTAGAAAAAAATCAAAATTTTATAGGCCTATGAACTATAAACTGTCTGTAAATCATTCATATGTTTTATGAAATCGTAATTCATATAGATAGAATCAATGTGTTTGTTTATAATAAAAGTTGCCTGGCTGTGATATACAAGAAGAGTTGCTGTACAACACATTAAAAAAACAAAGCATTTTGGTGAAGACCTACTCTTGATTTATAAATATCATCGAAACTTGAGAATTTTGGCATGATTTCTAGGTTTTCTTCATTTCTGGAAGATTATATATGTGACAAGGGGAAACAAATAATGTTTGATTGTAAAACAGTATGAAAAATATGACGAATGTTTGTTTGACAATTAAGCAACTTCTGGCTCGCCAATAGCTGTTTCTTTCGAGGAATCCTGTGTTAGTATGATTACTCCTGGATCCTACCATAATGTCTCATAATTGTCAACTTTCAACACTATATTGTTCATGTTAACTGACATTTTCAACTTTGATAGTAAGCCTTGATCTGTAGGAAATAAAAGATATGTTTTCAAATTAAAGACCTAAAAAGAGAAGATTATAAAGTATTACTGGTTACATCTGTATTGTTTACCTTGTAAAATATTGAAAAAAAATTGTAAATATGTTTAATTGATTATTATTCTACATGTTTTTAATAAAATGTCTATGTATAAATTTTTTATCAGAACTGTAAAGGCTTAATTCTTAACATTTTTTTTTATATACAGGTGGCAGCTGGGAATCAATATTTTTATTGCTATTATACACGAATTAATGGTAAGTAAAGTGACATTGTACTAAAATGTTATAGATTTTAGGTAATGTTTACAGAGTTACCTAATTACAAAGTTTATGGAATAATATTGATGTTTTTAATTTTTTTTTATTACTAATATCATTTCTTAATAAATAAAATGGAATCTTAACAACATGAACACTTTGTGTGAAAAATATCTACACTATGATTTCTGTACTTGGCCACAAATGTCATTTCAAAAGCTCTCATTCAACAAGAGTAATATGTTAAATTCCTTGCTAGGTTCTCATTCAACAAGGGCAATGTTCCCACAGTTCTCATATATTTACACTTTAAACATTGGGATAAGTCAGGAGATAAAAATCTGGAGTAGGAAAAACAGTGTTCCACTTTGTTCCAGGCATATCTGAGATGGTAGTTCTATTCTACAATACAACATCACAGGTATCGGGAGTGATGTTAGTGATATTGAATCCTAGCTTCCTGGCCTCCAGTTCTAAATATGAGAGAAGCCATGATAACACTGTCAGACAGTTTGATCTACTTCCCTGTGGAGAATAACGAGACATTCTGTCTCAGTTTATACTATTCTAGTTTTAAATAGCTTTAAGATTGTTTATAAACTAGGTTTACATAAACAAGGCTTTATAGATAAAAAAATAGTGATATTTTTATTAAAGTATGATTTATCTTCAGAGAAAATGGAACATTTCAGATTAGGTGCTATCTCATATGTATGTCAAATGTTGAAAAACTATTATCAGTAATCTGTTTTTCTGGTACATATAAGTACCAAAACCCTATATATTGAAAATGTGTTGAAAGTAGTGAAATACCTCTAATTAACTATCAAAACATATTGTAACTGTATATTTATGTATGTGCGTGTTGGTGTGTACGTGTGTAAATTTATGTAATTTATTGCTGTTTATATAGTTGTCTTTGCAAATCTTCATATTTGGAGGAAATAAAGATAATAATAATAAACTAGGTTTACATAAACAAGGCTTTATAGATAAAAAAAAAATAGTGATATTTTTATTTCAATTTTCCTTCTTTTAGGGATCTCACTACTAATGACAAAGTATACTGCAGTTAATTAATATATCAAGATTAGGAAAGCTAGTACATAAATTTAAACATTTTAAATTATCATGAAATCTATTGATTAGCTTATATACAAGTTGACAGGTTAAAGCATGCTTGTGGTCTCGTATTATGATAAAGATTAATGACATGTTCAGGGTATACCTGTGATTTTACAGAAATTGATTTACTTGGATTAGTCACCAGAAAAGTTGATAATGATCATGGCTGTTCCCATACGACAAAAATTTACATCAAAATACATACTTATATTATTTTGTATCAGAAAAAAAAATTATAGATAGATGTAGTTTATGTTTCTTATGTCAGCCCTGCCATTTTATGTTTTGATGATGGAGGGCAGGGGGAGGCTGCCTGATAGTAGTTGCTAATGTTCATGTATCCTACCTGTGGCATCTCATTGTCGGATCTTAAAAAACCTTTGAACAGATTTGGTTCTTATTTCTTCCTTTCATTAGAACAATCTCTACACCTGATCTGATCCTGGTTTACAGCGTCAGGAAGTTATATATGTCTTATAAACATTTCTGCTAGTTTTATTAATATCATCACCATATATTTTATGGAAATTAAAATCATATCCATAACATAGTGAAATTCTAGATCTGTTGTCATGTTGAAGCAATTTGGATTATTGAGAGAAAAACCTAAATAATATGGGATGGATTTGATAACGATAATAAGGTGTAAGTGTTCTGTAGTTAGAATAGGGACATCAGATAACATTATAATGTGATGTAAATGTTGTCTGTTTTAGGATGAGGACATAGAAAATAACATTATAATGTGATGTAAATGTTGTCTGTTTTAGGATGAGGACATTGCATTATAATGTGATGTAAATGTTGTCTGTTTTAGGATGAGGACATAAGATTACATTATAATGTGATGTAAATGTTGTCTGTTTTAGGATGAGGACATTACATTATAATGTGATGTAAATGTTGTCTGTTTTAGGATGAGGACATAAGATTACATTATAATGTGATGTAAATGTTGTCTGTTTTAGGATGAGGACATTACATTATAATGTGATGTAAATGTTGTCTGTTTTAGGATGGGGACATAAGATAACATTATAATGTGATGTAAATGTTGTCTGTTTTAGGATGAGGACATTGCATTATAATGTGATGTAAATGTTGTCTGTTTTAGGATGAGGACATAAGATTACATTATAATGTGATGTAAATGTTGTCTGTTTTAGGATGAGGACATTACATTATAATGTGATGTAAATGTTGTCTGTTTTAGGATGAGGATCTATAATGTAATTTTGTGTTACTTGTTGTGAAATAAAGGGGATAAGTTCTATCTGATTATTAATATATTATATACATAGGTTTTATGTATTCTCGACTTTCTTTGTCTACATACATATTACATATTATTTGTTTACAGCTGGGTGGATCAGTTTCCTAGAATAATACATCATGAAATATTTTAGGAATCAAAAGCAGTCTAGATTTGGTTAATGATAGAAAATAACATTGTTATTAAGAGATATATTCAAATCCTGATTTCTTTTTTGTTATTGTTTAACAAAACCTTTGAAAAATTAAAAGATTGAAAAAAAACAACCCCTTTCCCCTAAAAAAAAAAAAAAAAAAATTGACAAAAATGCCAAAATTGGGGAAGAAAAAGAATAAATAAAAAAATCCCTATAAAAGCTTTGAAGAGGAAAGTCCTTATTTTACAGCAAGGTTGTGTTACAATCCATCAAATGATATTCACTTGTTCTTATCATGCTTATCTACGAGGTCTGTTGGCTGACTAAAGGGACCAATAGCTATAACTATCTTTGTAGAAACACTTCCTTGATCTAAACTTCATAACTTAAGAATTAATTGGGACAACCCAACCATAACTTTTGCAGGTAAAATCTCAATGAAAAAAAATTAAAAGTTAATATTACTCTTTTAAGTCAATAATTTTGTAATTAAGGTGTGAGGTCTGCTTTGACTCTCTAGGCTAAAGTATATGTGATTGATAGTAAGTAATGAAAATAGAAAAATTCTGCATGGCTGAAGGACAAAACCATTAAAACAAAAAATCCGCGTGGCTGAAGGACAAAACCATTAAAACAAAAGTTCTGACTGAAGGACAAAACCATTAAAACAAAAATTCTGACTGAAGGACAAAACCATTAAAACTAAAGTTCTGGCTGAAGGACAAAACCGTTACAGCATTTAGCTGTATAGTCTTTCAGTTGTGGCTAGGAAATGAATAGACTTCTATGAAGCAAAAGCATAAATAATAAAATATCCAGGTGATGTTGCTTGGTAAACAGTGTAATATTGTTCAAAAGATTCATTTTCATTAATTTTTTTCAGTACTAACTGACATAGACTTTCCTATCACAATTACATATTGATTATAAACGAGATCTTAATTATTGTACTGTCTCAATCCACAAAAAATACAGGCTATATATTGATATCTACAGTTTCTGTATATATTGATTAATGATTCATAAAGGACAGCAGAACAAATGTGTATATATTGAGTATCATTCTGGGTAACAATTTAAAGGTAGACCTGGTGTTGTGGGACATTTGGCAGAAAATATTTACCTTAATTCATGCCTTTCTCAGGTGATAGACCTCATTCTTTGGTGTAAAGATAAGAATACAAGTTTACATCAATTAGTTTTCTTATTTCTGTTTCTGTCTTAGAAATCATTCTGCATGTTTCATGACATTTTCAAGACTCCGTGAAAGTACCTTTATAACTATATCTTGTTCTAAAGGTGATTTCAATCCTTTTGGGAGGTATATGTGCTTTATTTAAAACGAAACCAAAACTTTTGATTTAACTTGTTTCAAATAATGTATTTTCCTTTGTAATTGGTTTTCCTGAATGATTGAAGATGTAATATTCATAAGTATGCAGGAGAAAATTTAAGAAAACTTTGAAATTTTTTTATCTAAGTTTTATGTAGCTGTACTAAATAACTGGTTTGGCTACATACGCTTCAGTTCTTGGCATGCTTCTCGATTATTTAAAAAGATTTAAAATATCGTATTTACATCTCTGTAACGAGCGTACGGTATTGTAAGGCAGTTAGGTGTGAGTTTAGTGTATAGACTTTGATTTATCTCTTCTATTGGACTATTTCACAACCTGTACGCCTACGACTGTCATACCCGTTCTCTTCCTGCATTTATGTCATTGGCCAATTTAAAAGAAATTTACACAATAGCTGATTTACATATTTTTATTGGTTAAATTGTAGATATGAATATAAATCCACTTGTAAATAAACCAGTTGTAGGATAAGGATATTATTTGATCAGGTTGTAAAATTTAGTTTGTGCATTTTACAATACAGTAGAGGTAATTCATGACAAAGTAGTCTTTTTCAGTGCCTGGTCATTGATCAATGATTGAAGGCTTTCTACGACATAACCGAATTGTATTATGTATACAAGGAAGCATGAAAATAATATGATAGTTTTTAAGGTCTCTGTTAACACTCTACACAACACAAATTATATATCTCCTGATAAAAAATAGTCTTTCTCCATCACAAATATTTACAACTGCTTTTTCATTGCAAAACACTGAGTCATTGAATGAAAAACTGAAAAGTTGTTCCAAAAAAATGTTTATATTTATTTAAAATGAAAAATTATTCAGTATTTTGTCACATTTGTACTTCTTGTAGATTAAAAATAAGTACATTAAATCCTTATTAACGTGGAAAGATTTTAATATTTTCCCTAAATAACTACACCAGTCAAAGCAATATTTTACTTCCCTCTATCTCTGCCCTCAATAAGTACACCAGTCATAGCTGTTTTACTTCCCTCCATCTCTGCCCTCAATAAGTACACCAGTCACAGCAATATTTTACTTCCCTCCATCTCTGCCCTCAATAACTACACCAGTCACAGCAATATTTTACTTCCCTCCATCTCTGCCCTCAACAAGTACACCAGTCATAGCTGTTTTACTTCCCTCCATCTCTGCCCTCAATAAGTACACCAGTCACAGCAATATTTTACTTCCCTCCATCTCTGCCCTCAATAAGTACACCAGTCACAGCAATATTTTACTTCCCTCCATCTCTGCCCTCAATAAGTACACCAGTCACAGCAATATTTTACTTCCCTCCATCTCTGCCCTCAATAAGTACACCAGTCATAGCTGTTTTACTTCCCTCCATCTCTGCCCTCAATAAGTACACCAGTCATAGCTGTTTTACTTCCCTCCATCTCTGCCCTCAATAAGTACACCAGTCATAGCTGTTTTACTTCCCTCCATCTCTGCCCTCAATAAGTACACCAGTCACAGCAATATTTTACTTCCCTCCCCTCTGCCCTCAATAAGTACACCAGTCACAGCAATATTTTACTTCCCTCCATCTCTGCCCTCAATAAGTACACCAGTCACAGCAATATTTTACTTCCCTCCATCTCTGCCCTCAATAAGTACACCAGTCATAGCTGTTTTACTTCCCTCCATCTCTGCCCTCAATAAGTACACCACTAACAGCAATATTTTACTTCCCTCCATCTCTGCCCTCAATAAGTACACCAGTCATAGCTGTTTTACTTCCCTCCATCTCTGCCCTCAATAAGTACACCAGTCATAGCTGTTTTACTTCCCTCCATCTCTGCCCTCAATAAGTACACCAGCACAGCAATATTTTACTTCCCTCCATCTCTGCCCTCAATAAGTACACCAGTCACAGCAATATTTTACTTCCCTCCCCTCTGCCCTCAATAAGTACACCAGTCACAGCAATATTTTACTTCCCTCCATCTCTGCCCTCAATAAGTACACCAGTCATAGCTGTTTTACTTCCCTCCCCTCTGCCCTCAATAAGTACACCAGTCACAGCAATATTTTACTTCCCTCCCCTCTGCCCTCAATAAGTACACTAGTCACAGCAATATTTTACTTCCCTTTCTCTCTACCCTCAATAAATACACCAGTCACTGCTAAGTATACCAGTAAGGTCTCTGTTATTACAAACACAAAACATGAAATTCAACTGATAAATTTTTCTTTAAAAAATGTTAGAAAAATGAGAATAATACGGAAGTAATGCAAATAAAAAATTCTTTTCTGACAGTGTGAGATTTAAGATGGTTTATTGCCGAGACAGAAAGAGACATCCCTTTAATGTTTACATTTCTGATGTATAATGAGTGTACGCTAAGACTCGTAATGTGTCGCACTTCGTAAACAAAACACTTTAAATTATGACTGTATATAACTATGCAGTCTGAACGTGATAGATCTAAATTTATCTTATCTATATAGACATTAAATAAACCCCATCCCACACTTATTCATAAATCATTTCTAAATTTATATGAAGCATGATAGAATTGCATATCTTTGTGAGAAAACTGCACATTATTATTCTCACAAAAGTGCGATAGCAAATTTTCTCCACTTTTCCTATCATGCAGACATATTTTGCAGACATCATACGCACATTGTGTAATGTTTTTCAATCCCCACAACGATGCTTGCTCTCCATCTCTGTCCTCTGTAGCTACCTGTCACTGCGATACTTTACTGCAAAAATTGTGTAAAGGAAGCTGTCCATTAACCATGTCTAACCCGACAATATATCCATACATATATCAAAGCTTTCTGATATATAGTGAAATTCTATAACAGTAACAGGGTGAGGAATTCAGTATAACTACTGGTTTGCATCTAAGGCAGTCTTCATGGAGATGCTGTCTATAATTATCAGTACAATTATTTCAAGATTTCTAGACATGTGATCATTATTCAGTCTAGAAGAGGATTTGTGTTAGCCGATCTGTCAGTTGTTAAGTAGGGTTCAGTGACAAGCTTTGTTAATGATTGACATAAGATGCTACACACATGATTGTAGATATATGTCTAACCAGCATTAGAGATTGACAGTTTTTATTGTTTATGTGTGAAACAAAGACCGCGGTGATGTGATTATTTGAGTATTTGTAGTACATTTAGAGATTGCATAGTCCCTTGGACTTTTCTGATTTGAATATTTCAGAATAGATTGTTCCATTAATACATACTCTTCGATATCTTAGCTGCCATCACATGTGAATATATACATATGTAGGGATTATTGTGACATCTGTTTCCAACAGTTACTGTAGTCAGTAGGGATGTTGAATATATATATATATATATATAAAGAATGTTTCATCATATTTACCATATATGTACATCTAATACATACATTTATAGCAAGTGTGAATTGGAGATTTTAGGGTAGTTTAACTGGTGATAATTTTTAGGAAATTTATATTTCTGATTTTTAGTAAAATAGTGATGATGAATGGAACAGAATAAATCGAACGTGTATTAAAATTAAAACAGCTGAATTAAGTCACAGGTATATGATAAATATTGATAAGACCCATTGTTATAAAAAATGTGATGTCTTAGCTTTGTATTACCATTCAATCTTTTTAAATCTTTTGTGTGAATATAAAAAAACAATTTTGAACTTCAGTATATTATAATATCAAGCAGTCAACAGACAGATGTTTTATTTTGGCAAGGATGACCCAACAATGTTTGACCTCTGATGATCTCCGACTACAGTGTGACTAGGTTTCAGTGTCACAAAATTATTTAATCTCTAGTGATTTAAAGTTTGTTTTGGTCTCTGCGTGTACTTATAGAGTCAAGAACACAATATACAATGACACAGTGATTTAGTCGGAATGATTATGTCAAGATGATAGGTCTATGCCTGTTACAGGTATGTGAGATCTGTCTGATTTATATGCATGAATAACATGACATAATAAGCTTATTCATGCCACCTTCTTCAGCTATTCAGAAGGAGGGGGGTTGGGGAATTAGGGGGGGGGGTCAGAGGCATTTTTGGAGAAGAGAAACCTTTCTTGTACATTTGTATTTTTAAATGATTGGTTGAAGTCTCTGCATGATGAGCAGGTTATCCAGAATTCTTCTCTGTGTAGAACTGACAGAATTTTTCCAGATTTTGTCATAAGCCTTCCAATGGGTGAAAAAGGCTTAGTTTTGTATAAATGATGTGTGTGTGTGATCAACCATGATAGCATGCAGGTTCTGAAAGTGGAATTAACAGGAAAAATTTTAGAATACTTCTGTTCTGGTGAAATTCCTTTAACCTAAATTGGTCAGACGCATCCTTCAGGACTACATAAATGTGTGGGACTCCAGGGGGCAGAGTGGAAGGTCAAATGGAGAATAGGCTTAAACATCCTTGTTTTGCAGAGATTAAGTATTTTAACCAAATGTGGTCAAGATTATCCCTGGGTGAAAAGGACTTATGTTTGTTTAAATTGAAAGTCTGGCCTTACCTTGGCCTAGGGTTGAATCTTCCAATCAATAGTTTTGTGAAATTCTAAATGGGAAAAATATTTCAATGCAATTGCTGAATTATAGAAGTTTTGATGTATAATTAGGCCCAATGTGCCTGTTGTTTGTTCATACAAAGCTTATAATCACACTGATTTTATACAGTCGAGTACCGCCCTGTATAAATACATATACAGGTAGATATAGATTACTAGCTGAACAATTTTAGCATAGCTAGTAAATGTACCGGTATTTTGGAATCAAAGTGGATTAACTAAGCTAGCATAGCTGTAAAAAGACAAGAAGTAAAGTACAAATTTCTGATTTGGAATTAAATAAAAGTTTCCGATCTATTGTCATATAACCAGTATTATCTCTGTAGCATTGGATTTCTATCAACGTTTCCATACAGAAAATGTCGAAAACAAGATTCTCTGTTGAGAGCGACAAAGAAATACAGTATCAAATCCTGTTGTAATGAAATTTCAGGACCAGGAACTTGTATGACAATGTGTTTTACATTGTTGAAGAGTTTGTTTGCTTTATGATATAAAACATGTAACATGTAAGGCCCCACCTACCCAAGTTTATTATTGAATGTGTTGTACTTTCACCTTTCTTGTGACTCATCAGAATATCTGTGTTACTGTGCATTATTTCTCAAACGACATTTTAAAGACTAATTTGCTAGAAATGCTTAAAGAATTTTTGTAATAGGGAACTCACTTAATTCATGTGTTCCAGTTGATAAACATGACTTTAATATCGTTTTGTTACGGCTATAATTTGTTTGATTGTAGTAAATTTTATTTTGTTTGTTGTTAGGTTGGGAAGAATATAGCAACCAGTATAACATTGCAGCATGGGAAACAGCTAACCATTCAGGCCCGTTACCTCTTATCTCTGCCATCTGTGTGTACCAGGTAAAAACAAGACAAATGTTAACCGGTTGATGCAAGTCATTCACTCCACTTCCTGGGTAACGTGATAACAGCTCATTTTTCATTCTTTTCAAATCTAATAAAACCTGTGACAATAGAACTTATAATAATGGAAGAATGTAGTCACCTTATTAATGTCACCATTCAATGGATTCTTATAACAAGTTTGTAAAAATAAATGATCTTGACCAATTATTTTAAAATGTTCAGACAACAATTTTGCAATAGCTGAAAGACCTGAAGGGTACTAACAATTCGCCTTTAATAAACTTTGGTGAAAGGATGCCTAAAGTTTGCTGAAGTGAATGAATTTGACCCTTTTGTGAAAGTCACTGGTTCAAATATGTGAAAATCTTTAAACTTGTAATAATGCCTATGACCCTTTTACAATGGGAAACAAATTTGTTATTCAGTGCCCCAAATGAAGTTTTGAAATATTAATTTTGCCCTTTTTTTTTTAAATCTTATTATTCTTCTTTTTGTTCTTTTTCACTTCTCTGCTGTAAAGGTTTCCAATTTTTTTTTGCGAAAACTGTATGTTGAATTATTCCCAAACTTTGAGGGGTCAATACTGATGTCCTGTAGATGTGTCATTTGATTGGCTAATAGCTTTTCACAACAGCTTCTGTTCTGTTCAGCGCATAGAAAATTTGTGGGAAGGATAACTATAAAACATTCACTAAGATGGTAAAATAAAAAAAAATCGATGACATTCTCACCAAAATGGCCTTCAAACGGATTATTTTAATTAGTTGACATTTAGATATTGTCCCAATTTTTAATGAAATTTGGTTTGTAGGTGTAGCATGATATTTATAGCATAATGTTGTGGATGCTTTTCTGATACGGATATTCCATCTGAGTGGTTATAAGATGCTGTAAAACACCAGGCATTGCCAAGGGGTTGATCACATTTGTGACATCCTCAAGGGGCACAACAGATAAAAGAGTATTTTTCTCTCATCTCTCATTCTTGAATATTTGGGTAAAAATAGCTTCAGACATGGACAGTGTACTATAAAAAATGCCATATTACACAAAAATCATATTTTTATTATGCAATTAATTGACAAAGAAAATTAATTCTCAATACAGAGATTTGGCAAACAAAGTTTGCCCTAGCAAATTAAAAGCAAAGCATAAACAGTCACTGCATATAACTTTGTACACAAATGTGTTTATATTGAATTAGGTAATAATGTCAATCAGGAAGGTACACATTGCATTTCTATGGGCATACATGTGCGTCCCTGAATTACATGTATCGGTGCATACAAGAACAGTGAACCTGGGTAGAAATGAGAGAATAATGGTGTGTGTCAGGGCTCGTTGTATCACAAGGTTAGAAATGAGAGAATAATGGTGTGTGTCAGGGCTCCTTGTATCACAAGGTTAGAAATGAGAGAATAATGGTGTGTGTCAGGGCTCCTTGTATCACACAGGTAGAAATGAGAGAATAATGGTGTGTGTCAGGGCTCCTTGTATCACAAGGATAGAAATGAGAGAATAATGGTGTGTGTCAGGGCTCATTGTGTCACACAGGTAGAAATGAGAGAACAATGGTTTGTGTCAGGGCTCCTTGTATCACAAGGTTAGAAATGAGAGAATAATGGTGTGTGTCAGGGCTCGTTGTATCACAAGGGTAGAAATGAGAGAATAATGGTGTGTGTCAGGGCTCCTTGTATCACAAGGTTAGAAATGAGAGAATAATGGTGTGTGTCAGGGCTTCTTGTATCACACGGGTAAAAATGAGAGAATAATGGTGTGTGTCAGGGCTCCTTGTATCACATGGATAGAAATGAGACAATAATGGTGTGTGACAGGGCTCCTTGTATCACACGGGTAGAAATGAGAGAATAATGGTGTGTGTCAGGGCTCGTTGTATCACACGGGTAGAAATGAGAGAATAATGGTGTGTGTCATGGCTCCTTGTATCACACGGGTAGAAATGAGAGAATAATGGTGTGTGTCAGGGCTCCTTGTATCACACGGGTAGAAATGAGAGAATAATGGTGTGTGTCAGGGCTTGTTGTATCACACGGATAGAAATGAGAGAATAATGGTGTGTGTCAGGGCTCCTTGTATCACACAGATAGAAATGAAAGAATAATGGTGTGTGTCAGGGCTCCTTGTATCACACGGGTAGAAATGAGAGAATAATGGTGTGTGTCAGGGCTCCTTGTATCACACAGATAGAAATGAAAGAATAATGGTGTGTGTCAGGGCTCGTTGTATCACACAGGTAGAAATGAGAGAATAATGGTGTGTGACTCCTTTTCTATATTGAAGTACTTTTATAATTAGCATCATTCATGACTGAAGGGAGAGTTTTGAGGACTTCTATAATGGGTTCTGTTGTATAGTTATAACTTGTCCATGAATGATATAGACTCTTGTTAATGATATTTGTATAGTAGCATGCTTGGGAATGGAGTTTTTCAAGTTTGCAGGAATTGTGTTAGCAGACAGAATCTTCTTTATATATCACATTTATAAGTTTTGATGTAATATTTTGATAAAAACTTTTACTTTTTTTTCACCAGAGAAATCAGACAGGCAAAACAGCATATGGCTACCCAGCCCTGAATGTGAATGTTAATGTCCCATACTTGCTGTTAAGGTCTGGAGTACAAGAAGGTAAGTATCCAGCCCAGAACTTTGACATCCTGTATCTGTTGTTGGGTGTTTGGAGCTAGCACTTTTGGCATACAAATGTTCATATAGATAGAACTTTTAAGGATTGAGGTACATAAGTGTCCTTCACTACAGGTCCGGTTCCTGCCTGATATTTAGGTGTGGTGCTAATTGTCTGTTTGTGAACGTTCAGTACTTTCTATATAGGCTTATTTAATGGAAATGAAATTAAGTAGTCATTTTTCGTGATGTTTAACTCTACCAGATTACAATTAGTTTTAAATACAGGAACATAATACTGATGTTGACATGTTCAGTATCATTTCCCAAAATGACATTTAAGTGCTAAAAACAAATACAATCAAAGGTATTAATACTAATGAAAGTTCAGTTTCAGTTCACCATAGGTCAGTGCTTTGGTGTCCTTTGTCTTTCAATCCAGACTCAACTTTCTCCTTTAAACAAATTCTCGATATCAAGAGGCTAAAATTCATGAATTGTACTTGGCTAGAAACTTCCTGGTATAACACCTGACAAAAGTTGTGAAAGGAAATAATCTTGAATCATAATCAAGATAACAGGGGTCAAATTTGTTGTTATCATTAAAACAACTTCTTCTCAAAAACCAAAAGGCATTGTATCATGATATTTGCATTTTAGGTCTCAAAGATGAAGCCCAACAAATTTTGAAGTTTGTGATAAGAAATGATCTTAATCTTTATTCAAAATTCAAATTTCCAGATGAAATAAAAGCCTTGGATCATGATATGCAATTGACAAGGTTTTTAGAAGAAGACCAATAAGGTTTAAAGAATGAGATGTCCCATCTGGGTCACTGGGATCAAATAAAATCTGTCATTGTTAGACAGCATTTTGCCTTGAGTTTTAAATTTGGTTTAAATTAATGGGATATTGTTGTTTTTGATGTGTGAAAATGTTAAATATATATCAGATGAGCAATTCAGATGCTCCAGGAGCTGGTGGAGTTGCAAAATATTCAATTAGACATTATTTTGAAAAACATATTTTTACTGTACCAATTCCATACTTATTCTACCACTGCAAGGCACATATGTTTGTGATCCTCTTTTATAGCCATAAATCTGGAAAAAAAAACAGAATTTTGATTGAGGAAGCATCTTTTTCAACCTTAAATAACAAAATGATAAGAAAATGATTGTGTATGTATATTTGTCTATGGATACATGTGCATGTTTTTTTTTTTACATACATGGATCAGATGTGGCACCCAAGTCTATGCGGATGGTGTTTTCCAGCGTGGAGCACATAGAACACAGGGACTCATACTACTATGACCATCATATAACACGGTTCTTCAGATTCGATAACTACCGCCCAACGACTCATGATCTCTTAAACCCGGTAACTATATATATGCAATTTTTTTAACATTCTCAAAAAACTTTTTTTTCAATTTTTAGATATTTCAGGAATTCTCCATGTTATGGTTTATCTGTAAAGTTAATTTAACATTAAAATGTTTATGTCATTCTACTTAGTGAGTTTTTCAATTAAAGTCCATTTATTTTGCTGAGGTATATCATTGTGGAGAAATACAGTAAGGATCATACAAACAGAATGTGCTATGAATCACTTAGATTTCGCAAATACTTTATATCGCTAACTGATCTCTCCAGACATATTTGCAAATACATGATTTTGCATACGCTGATCTATAAATGACTTTAAGTTCACAAATGATGAGGTAATAGAGACCTGGACTCTGCAACACTCCTCCGATATCGGTAACGAAATCAACATGAATGCAATCCAGAGTTATTTTCATACATAAAATCTTGAAGGATTTGAAGTTGCGATTGACTCTTCTCACATGAATACAGCAATGTTTGTGTGGAAATTAAATGTTTGTTAATTTATCATTGAAGCTATGTAGATGAACATTGGGATTGAGATAGGTAGATTTATTCCGTTCATTGTGTTAATTCCTGTATTGTCTACAAGGCTGCACAGTGATGTTACTGTTACTTGGCATAATTGGAACTCTTTTGTGTTACATTTACTCCTTCATATATCTGTGACAACATCCATAGCCTATAGCAGCTTGTAAGAATTTCTTTCTAGTTAAAGTATTCCTTCAACACTCATTTGAAAAGGCATGAAAATGCTGTATAGGTCCTAGAAATATGCTATAGATTCGTGTATACAACATCAAACTGCTGTAATTTTTTATGCATGGCACTGCTCTTGGGATAACCCTTCCTATTAATAGAACTTAACAACAGAGATGAGTACAGGGACTCACAGATAGAAAATCATGTTTGCATAATATGGTACTGTTGTAAAATGTTGAACACATTGCAAATGGATTTTTATTGATGTGAAAATATTTGACATTTTAAGCCCATCATCAGATGGTGGGCTACTCAAATTGCCCTCATGGTCAATGATCCATTGTCAGTCCATCCATAAACAATCGTCGTTGCTTATTTGATGTGGGACTGATCAGAGAAACAAAATGGCTGGCAAGCGACCATCCAATTTGGCCTGAACACCATCCAGGGGTGAAGCAGTCACAGGTTTGTTTAAACGATCAGTCTGAATAATTGGATTTTGTTGACTGAAACATTCATTGGTTAAGGGTACTCAATTTTGTATAAATCATGGATGGCGGCCCCCTTGGATGGGAAAGATGAGACCTAATAAGAGAAATAGGGCAAATTCTTTAATCTCTCTTTTCCTCTGTAGGAATGTCAGGGTTATATCACAGTTTAGTCTGAAAATTCCTAGGGTAAATGATAATTTATTTTGTATATTTACTAGTGGGTCTCAACCCCTAGGGGCAGGAGGAGCAGGGACCAATAAGGGAAATGTAGTTAAACTGCATGAAATAAAACTTTTAAAACTTAAATACCCCAGTTAACTCGAACCACACTGTTGGCCCTGACAGAATTCTCACTTTATCTTAGTAATAAAGAGTCAGAAACTGCCATAATTGGAAGTGAAAATTTGATCCTTCCAAGATATACCTGTTAACCCCAGGTTCTGGATTTCAGCCATAAATAACACATTGAAAAAAAAAAAAATTCTGACACATGACAAATTGTAAAGACAGATAGTAGTGTTCTTGTGTCTCAGTACATTGTTATCTTAGAGCACTCTAGACCTGTTATAACTTTCATGAAAATCTCTTTGACAATTGTCACACTAAAAACATATGTTCAATGTAAGGAAACAGACTTAGTCAATGTCTATTCATTGTAAAAGAAAATTCCTTTATTTAACACCCAATTCTCAGGACAATGTGAGAATGAAGGATTGTAATTTGCGGTTATCCGAAACTTAATTAAAAAAAAAAAGGCCTGCATTGCTGAAATCACAGCCTTGGTTTGAGGCTAACGTTTTCACAGGAAGTTATGTAATTACATGGTATTAATACTGACAGAGAATTTAGGTAAAGAATAGTATATCAATTACCATCAGTTAAATAATATTGAAGAGGTTTCTCAAGTGTCATGTTTAACTTGTGGTGTTTATTGTGTATGTATTTGAACTTTCTTAATATCTTCATTTACACAGGCACAGTGATTTTGTGTCAGATGCATAATTCCACACTTTAATTTCTGGTCTGTTTACATAGAGGTCTGAATTACAGTTGTGGGATCTCATAACATTTTAAGATGTGCGAGGTGTGTTTGATGTATGCATGTTGGGTACAGGTTATGAAAACTGGTGTGCTTTTCTATCGCGGTCCATATAAATTTAGGAATGATTTATGAATAAGTGTGGGATAGGACTTATTTATTTCTAGATAAATAGAAGCTGAGTACTTAAGCTTTGTGCTTGTAGGTCATACTTATGTAGATCTATTAGATTCAGACTGAATAATATTGTATACACACTCATAATTTAGAGTGTTTTGTTCCAACTTGCCATGCATGGCCATTCTAAGTGTACAGATCAATACAATATATATGTAAACATTAAATGGACATCTCTTTTAATCTCAGCAATGAAATATTTAAAAACTTAACCTTCCAGAAAGGTTAGTTATTTGGTTTTTTTTGTATTAGTATCAATTTTCTATCATTTTGTAACAACAAAATATATTCTCAGGTAAATTTGAAGTGCTGTGTTTGTGATAAAGGAGACCTAACTGATACAGAATCGTTGTGTATATACTTGCATACAGGTAATTTTTGTTGTCTGGGACACACAACTCACCTCTCTTACATTAAAGAGACTAAATGATGCAGTGTCCATTTGTATTTTGGTAGCTGCCAAACTATAAATGACCTTTATAATTTCTGATCAATATTTCATATGCCTATATATGACCCCTATTACGTCATAATTACATGATATTTTTGTTGAATTTTAAATTTGTAATACTAATCAACCATATTTACTAAACTCCATAAAATGTGTAATCCTATTGCATCGTGTGTCAGTCATGCGCTGCAAACTTTTTACTTTGCATGTGCAGAAATTTTCAATGACTAAAGGTTAACCAGAATTGTAAATTATATGGTCCCCACATGCCATGGGCCTGAGGGCAGGTGCCAAAAGGAATCAGATTGAAAGAAATTTCAAAAATCAACAAGGTGATTGTTAAGACGATCAGGACTCTTGTTTTTTATAAATGGTGGGTCTTGACCCTCTGGTGTAGAAAGGTTGGATGGGGCTATCTACATAGGGAAATCAAGCAAATTTTTAAAGTACTTAAAAATCCTTCTTCAAATAAAAGGAAGTTGTGTCCATGTTTGGTCTGAAGCAATTCTCGGTATGTTGTTGATGTGATTTCCATTTGATCACAAGACCTTGAACCAATAGGGAAATTATTTCAGGAAATATTTTTCAATTTTAAAATCATTATTAAATGACTGAATAACTGAGACAAACAGGTGATGCCAGCTCCATACGGCTTATTTTCTAGGAATTTTTTTCAGTCCCCTACCATTTGTCATTGCTCCAGCAGCTTCCTTTGCAGAGTGATTCCCATCAGACTTCAGAATCTAAAGTATCAAAACAATTTGGACTAGGTTTAGGTTCATGAGTGTTGGGTTAGTATCAAGGTCACTGTTACTATTTTAAGAAACTCATTGGCTAGGCACTAGCTGCTTCACTCTTTGAAGGAGTTTCATCAAACTGTACAGTCTTATAAAGCATCAAAATGTCTTGGATAAGTCTGAGTTTTTGGGCAGTTGAGTCAAAGTCATTATTACTATTTTTAGCAAATCATTGTTAAGCCTTTAGTGGCTGCAATCCTCAAGAAGAACTTCACACACTTTTAAAACACTCACATATCAAGCTCTAGTTTTAGGATTGTTGGTTCTAGGTCAAGGTCACATATTTATGGGGACCCAATGGTGAAATGATTCCAGAAAGTATTTTTTAATTTTGAAATTCTTTGTTTTTACTATACAGCTGAAATGACCAGTTGAGTGATGCAGACTTCATAAACCACTTGTTTCCTGGTTTTATTTGTTGCCAACCATTCATCAGTGCCTTAAGAATTCTTTTCAGCTTGATTACTTTACATGTTTTCATTCTGAAAGCTTCATTATAAAATGTTGTTATTCTAGAAACAGTTGAAATTCAAGTGTCTTACGGGCCTGGACATCTGTGGAGCAGTACGTGTGTATAGGATTCAGCTAACTGCATATGCTCCAAACAGATCACTCTATATTGAGCAGAACTTCACAGCAACCACTTATATGGGTAAGTATACTACCATCCTGATGTCACTCTTTTTCATTTAAGATTTGATTCACATTTGATTTGATTGAAAAATGTTTATATCAGTGAAATAATTCGTTAAGACAAAGGATAGGTACACGTTTTTAGCCCACCATCATCAGATGCTAGGCTATTTAAATCTTGCTACCATGGTCTGTTGTCACTCCACGGGTCCGTAAATGAAAATGTTCAGGGGAGCACATAGTCCTTGTTATTGGTATTACTCTTTCTTGAGAACTACAGGAAGGATCTTTCTCATATTTCATATGTAGGTTCCACATGGTCCCTAATTATGCAGTTTTGACTTTGGGTTAATCGGAAAAACAAAATGGATGACAGGTTGCCATCTTTGATTTTGAAAAAGGAAAAATTGTTATCGCTATTTCTTGTGAAGTTCAGGATTGATCTCTCGCAAATTTTATATGTAGGTTCCCCTTGATCACTAGTTTTGCCTATTTCATTTCATGACTGATCAGAAAAACAAAAAGACCCACAGGAAGTCATCCTGGATTTAAAAATGAAAGTTTGTTATCGCTATTTCTTGAAAGAACAGGATGGATTGCTCTCAAACTTCATATGTTTGTTTGCCTTTGTCCCAGGTTGTGCCTGTTTGATTTTGGGACTGATTAGAAAGTTACTGCTATTTCTTGAGAAGTCTTGAATGGATCTCTCTTAAATTCCATCTTTCGGTTTCCCTTGGTCTCTAGTTGTGCTTGTTTGATTTTGTTACTTATCAGAAAAACAAACTGACAGAGATGCCCAACTTGGATTTCTTGGAATCGTTATTTAATACATAATATAATTTGATATATACAGTAATATGATGTACACTAGTGGCTCACCATTATCAAATTGTTGATTATTCATATCACTCCACGTCTGTTGTCCGTATGGTCACAGTTTTTGTTATCACTGGTTCATGATAAAATTTAATCTGTGAGTCCCCTTCATTCCTAGTTGTGTCATTTTAATTTTTGGACTGATTAGAAAAAACAATATGGCTGACAGGCAGCCATCTTGGATTTTCACAATGAAGGACTGTGAACTCTGTTTCTTGAAAAGTAACAGATGAATCTTTCTCAAAATTCATTTGTGCTTGCTTGATTTTGGGACTGATAAGAAAACAAAAAAATGGCCAACTTGTGGCAATTAAAGATTACTATTGTTTTTTCTGTGGATGAATTTTCAAATTTAGTATGATTTTGAAGAAATACAGAGGAAAGAAGAGATAAGAAGGGAAAAGATTAAACTTTTAAAGAACACAATCTTTAAAAATGAAGCATTGATGGATGCCAGCATAGAATACAAATTAACACTTGATTAGATTTTTATATACATTTAGTTAACTTCAAATGTTGCATTTTATTAAAGATACATATGTAGCTGTCACTTTTGAACTAAAAACCATTTACATGGGAGAAATTTCATAAAAGTCCATACAGGAAGTTTCTAAGTTATTATTTTACTGTTTAGGAACATTCAATTCTAAACCACTTCAGATTTAGGTGGTGATCCATCAGTTACAGAATCCAAAGATATCTCCTTCAGACTTAAACAGTTTATATTTTACAGAGTTATACAGAAATACTTCAAATCACTCAGACTTCAAAGATATTTTATTTCACAAAATATCCTCGGCAGACATATTTCTGAATATATGATTCTGCAAACACTGATCTAGAAATGACTTTGAATTCACAGATGATGAGCTGTTTGGGATATTGCCTTTGAAAAGCTCCTATATCAGCAACAGTTTGCTTCATAATGGCCACCATTTAGCTTATGAGAGTCATGTGACGTTATCTGAAAAGTGATTCTGAGTCCTGTGTGATACATGTACTGGATTTTATTTACCTAAGTATAGACTAATATGTAGACAAATGAAATGATGATGAATGCGGTACATGATTTTATGTTTGGAGAAGGGCGAGCTGATTCACGGTAAGATGACTGGACTTCAGTATGCCATTTGTGTTTGTGCAGTATTTAATGTTACACTTCATAACCTGTTTATACTTATTACAGTATACAGTAGCTATCCCAGCGGTAAATGTTTTTGATAATTTTCCAACTGTTAATTTTATATTTCTGATTTAGGTGTTGAAGGATGGTATCCAGTAATTGCTACAGCTATTTTACCAAAGAACGGTGTCTATGTGGTATTTTCTCCAAGAGATTCTCCTGGCAAATTGACAAGTGTAACATATGAGATCTTTCTGAAGGGAGAAGATGGAAATAGGAAAACAAATGTTTCCACCTTCATGGAATATGCTCAGGTTAGTTCTCTCCCTTGTTAGAACTTTTCATCACTCAGTTGTGTTTGTTGATTTGATGGAGAAGTTAGAACACTCTTATGGTAATGAAAACTACTCCTAAACTCTCTTTTTAAAAGCCTCTTAATCCTAAGGAAGAAAATTGTCATGTAGTATTGTTAAACTACACCTTACATGAATTATAATGGTCTTGGAGGTGTTGCACAAATTTGCTACATGTATGTATTGCTTTGTATGTTTTGCTAAGATATCTTCAATTGCCAAATGAGCTTATGCCATGTTCTAGCATCTGTCATCTGTCCTTTGTCAACTTTTCCTCATGTACATTGCAGTGTAATGCACATTTATTTTGAAGTTGGAGAAATAACAAATTTTTATATAGTCCAAACAGTGTTTGGATTAGAGAGAATTCACAGAAATTTATGGAAAAAAAGGGTTGCTGATATCTTAATTAATGCACATTTATTTTGAAGTTGGAGAAATAACGAATTTTTATATAGTCCAAACAGTGTTTGGATTAGAGAGAATTCACAGAAATTTATGGAAAAAAAGGGTTGCTGATATCTTAATTTAGATAATATTTCAGAATTACATTTTTTTTTCAGAAATACAGTTGTACGTTCACTAATGTAAAACCAGGTACCTACAGAGCTCAGGTAATTATATATATATCTATATACATAATGTATATTTCACTCTCTTACCTTCACTCCAAATAAAACTTTAAAATGATACTTATTTGAAGTTAAGGATGAGATTCACCTGTTCAGTATATGTGAAGATGTATCACCACAAAGATGGTTAATATATGATACATTAAACTAGTATTAGAGGCAACTTTTTTTGTGTGAAAACATTGCATCAGCACACCCATGCAACCATGCTTCCTATGGACAAAGTGGCAAAAGAAGACAGATTAGGTATAGTTTACCAAATTCCCTGCTACAGTTGCATTCAAAGGCATATTGATAAAATTAGATATCACAGACCATGTCAGTACTTATAACTACATCACAGACCATGTCAGTACTTAAAACTACATCACAGACCATGTCAGTACACCCAACTACATCGCAGACCATGTCAGTACTTATAACTACATCACAGACCATGTCAGTACTTATAACTACATCACAGACCATGTCAGTACTTATAACTACATCACAGACCATGACAGTACTTATAACTACATCACAGACCATGTCAGTACTTAAAACTACATCACAGACCATGTCAGTACACCCAACTACATCGCAGACCGTGTCAGTACTTATAACTACATCACAGACCATGTCAGTACTTATAACTACATCACAGACCATGTCAGTACTTATAACTACATCACAGACCATGTCAGTACTTATAACTACATCACAGACCATGTCAGTACTTATAACTACATCACAGACCATGTCAGTACTTATAACTACATCACAGACCATGTCAGTACTTATAACTACATCACAGACCATGTCAGTACACTCAACTACATCACAGACCATGTCAGTAGTTATAACTACATCTCAGACCATGTCAGTACTTATAACTATATCACAGACCATGTCAGTACTTATAACTACATCACAGACCATGTCAGTACACCCAACTACATCACAGACCATGTCAGTACACTCAACTACATCACAGACCATGTCAGTACTTATAACTACATCACAGACCATGTCAGTACTTATAACTACATCACAGACCATGTCAGTACACTCAACTACATCACAGACCCTGTCAGTACACTCAACTACATCACAGACCATGTCAGTACTTATAACTACATCACAGACCATGTCAGTACACTCAACTACATCACAGACCATGTCAGTACTTATAACTACATCACAGACCATGTCAGTACTTATAACTACATCACAGACCATGTCAGTACTTATAACTACTTCACAGACCATGTCAGTACACTCAACTACATCACAGACCATGTCAGTACACTCAACTACATCACAGACCCTGTCAGTACACTCAACTACATCACAGACCATGTCAGTACTTATAACTACATCACAGACCATGTCAGTACTTATAACTACATCACAGACCATGTCAGTACTTATAACTACATCACAGACCATGTCAGTACACTCAACTACATCACAGACCATGTCAGTACTTATAACTACATCACAGACCATGTCAGTACACTCAACTACATCACAGACCATGTCAGTACTTATAACTACATCACAGACCATGTCAGTACTTATAACTACATCACAGACCATGTCAGTACTTATAACTACATCACAGACCATGTCAGTACTTATAACTACATCACAGACCATGTCAGTACACCCAACTACATCACAGACCATGTCAGTACACTCAACTACATCACAGACCATGTCAGTACTTATAACTACATCACAGACCATGTCAGTACTTATAACAACATCACAGACCATGTCAGTACTTATAACTACATCACAGACCATGTCAGAAATGTAAAATATTTCCTGTCATATTAGTGAAATATATAAGGAAATTTTGTTTAGAAATCCCCTTAATTTTCTTTCAATCACTTTTTAAAAAGAAAAAAGTACTGAAATTTCTGTAAGGCGAAAAATGTTGATTGACTATATATATGTATATCTGTAATTTTAAATGTGAAATATAATCTATGACATGCAAAACAATCAAACATTTTGTAGAAGATGATTTCTACAGCAAAATTCAAAATTTTGAATACATTTTCCATCAAACCAGTGGAATTTGTGCAAAAAGTACAATTCATGGAATCAAATTAAAGTTCCAAATCAATAGATTGTCATTGGTATTGGATATTAAACCCAGAACAAAACAGATTATAAATTGTAATTATCTTAAAACAATGCATAGTTAAAAACCCTTACTCTTTGACAAAGTACACTCGTCTACATTCTGTGCTCTGCATACCATTTGCTTTCAATACAGAGTTGGGGCCTCAGTTTCCAGTCAGAGATAATTGAGTGTTATTCATACATCTTTGTTTCGGATAAAAATCATAAAACTATGATGGGACAATTCTTTCTTATAATTCATTTGATTTGTTATATTAAATTCATATAAAACAAGATGACACTTACACACATGTATCGCTGAACACATACACACATGTATAGCTGAACACATACACATGTGTATCGCTGAACACATACACACATGTATCGCTGAACACATACACACATGTATCGCTGAACACATACGCACATGTATCGCTGAACACATACACACATGTATCGCTGAACACATATGCACATGTATCACTGAACACATACACACATGTATCGCTGAACATACATACATGTATCTTCAGTGATCAAGGAAAATTTATTTCTCTGCAGTACAACTTATTTTACAAATGTCAACATGAAACTCCTTACATTTGTTATCATATTATCAATACATCCTTGTAGCTAACTTCATTGAGTATTTAAGACAATAGTATTTAAAGACGCATTCGATCACCCATAATTGTATATCGGGTAAAATGTACACACATGTACCACACTGTCATTCTCGCTAGAGTCAAATCGTCGTAACTTGGTCATTTTTCATACATAAAACTGCAACATTGGACATTAATGTATCATTATCACATTAAGCACATATCTTTTCACATTTCTGACTTTATTTCGTATTTTAAGATAATTGAAGATTCTGCCCTTGAGTGTGATACAGTGTATGGTGTCGTGGGCTATCTATAGAAATTGAGCTCTCCATTACACAATCAATATAACAAATATCAACATGAAAGTTCGTAAAAAAAGTTTATTGTGATCATATTTATGATGCCAATCTCTGTATTGATTATATTAAAATGTATTTTCTGAAGAGTCTTTATGACTTATTGTCATTGATCATGACTTGTTGCCAAACTTTAGATAGACTGCTTAGAATAGATGTCAATGTTTCCATTACTTAAGTGAGTTCCACCATATTGTCCCACCTCGGAGAATCTTCTGCAAACCAGAACAATGCTAGTTCCTGATTGTTGCAAATTTCAGTCTGAATATTTTCATGAACATTTTGTCTGTCAATTCTAGCAAGATTTTAGTGTAATACTTGATTGTCTCTTAGGAATGGGATGTGTGTATGAGGCTGTTTTGAATGATGGCAGTAATGTTTATAGCATATCTGACTCCTGCTAGGTGTCACAGGTAAATCATTAGAATATTTCCACCAATCAGGTAGCTAGGATTGGTAGTGACAGCTCATTCCAAAAGCTGTGAGAATAGGCTGAAACTGCATTACGTTAATCCTAGAAAGCCAGTTCAAATATGATATATAAAACCATTGAAAGCTTATTGAAAAAAGGATAAGGGATTGGAAATTGAAAAAATATATTGGTGTACTAGTTTATCAGTCCAAGGGAGATAATTCCAATATCATTTTCTTTTTCCTAGCTCCTAGTGAAATACACAGATTTGACAAAGAAGAAATCTACAGTTTTAGAGTATCAATCTGCTAGTTTGATGATCCGAGGAGATACAAGTATGTATTTAATATATTTCAGACCAACATATGCTACATTTGAATTATAATGGAACTTGTAAACTATCTTTGTTGTGTACTATCATCTCCAAGCAAAGAGATTTCCATGATCTGTTTTGACATGCATAATTCACCAGCCATTTGAATATGTTAACAGCTGTTTCTAGTAAATGCTGATGTCAAATTTTATCAGGAATTCTGTTTAAATTTTGGTTATTCTCACCCAGGAATATAAACAGGTAATGCTGTTAGAACTTTTCTTTTTTGATCAAGGTATTGCACCGTTGGCCTCTACTAAACTTGACCATGATAAAGACTATGTGTGGCCCATTGTTGTGATAGGAGCAAGTATGGCAATAGCATGTAGTTTGTTACTTTTGCTGTTTTGGCAAAGTCAAAATAAGGACTTCTTAAAAGAAGTTTTCAAGAGGCCAAGAAATCGTCAGGACTCCAAAAAAAGTAAGTTTTATTTGAAAACAAATCATAGTGGAACTTGTCCATTAAGCGCAGCGTTAATCTGTCTATGTCTCCTTGTAGAACACAACACTAACCAGTCAAATATGTCTCTTTGTTGAACACATCAGTAGTCTATCTAATCTTTGTCTTTGTTGAACACAACACTGACCTGTCTAATTTGCGTCTTTGTTGAACTCAACACTGACCTGTCTAATTTGCGTCTTTGTTGTACACAACACTGACCTGTCTAATTTTCGTCTTTGTTGAACACAACACTGACCTGTCTAATTTGCGTCTTTGTTGAACACAACACTGACCTGTCTAATTTGCGTCTTTGTGTACACAACACTGACCTGTCTAATTTTCGTCTTTGTTGAACAAAACACTGACCTGTCTGATGTGTCTCCTTGTAGAACACAACACCAACCTGTCTTATCTGTATCTCTGTATAACACAACACCAAACTGTCTTATCTATATTTCTGTAAAACACAACACAAACCTGTCTGATGTGTCTCCATGTATAACACAACACCAACCTGTCTAATGTGTCTCATTGTAGAACACAACACTAACCTGTCTTATCTGTATCTCTGTAAAACACAACACAAACCTGTCTGATGTGTCTCCTTGTAGAATACAACACCAACTATTCAATCCGTCTCCATATAAAACACAACACTTACCTATCTAATCTTGGACAAGCTGGTTGTAATAATAGAGCCATGTAAAATGTTACCTTTTTTTTTAGAAATTTCTCGACAGCATACTAGTGACTTCATTGCTGGAGGGATTTCAAGCAAACCTCAAATTTATATAAAGGACCATATCATCACAAATAAATTAAAATTTCAAGGATGTAGTATCAAGGTCAAGGTCATTTCTATTCCCTTTTTTTAAAGAAGATTCTTATCAGCACATCAGTGGCTTGAGGGATTTTGATCAAACTGCACACATCTCACTTTTCTTTTTTTGCACTTGTAAGTCATGGTGGAACCATTAGGGAAATTGTATCATTTGTAAAGCCTTTTTTGGACTATTCAAGTTTGCATTAAAAAAGTACTGAGATTGTTGAGAATTTAAGTCAGTAATGTGCTCTTATTAAATTTCTTCAAAACTATATATGATCTTCCACCTAGTTGTCTGAGTTTTACCAAACTAAATGTGTTTTTTTTTCTGTTATCAGAGAAATTCCTGTTATATCTGAGGGAAGCTGAGAAATATGTGCCTTGCATAACACAATTCCTGAATAGAAAAGTGGAGGTGGTATGTGATAAGGATTGGGAGAATGAGCCAACATGTCCCTTAGAATTGTTTAAAGAGAAAGTGAAGCAATGTTCACATTTACTGATCCTGTGGTCCCAATCAGCTCCACGTGTCATGTCTAATCCCGGTATCACAAGTCAAACGGAGATAAATGCTCGCTCCACAGTTCAGGATTACTTCAAGGAAGCAATTAACTTTTCCAGGGACTTGAGTAACACGGGTGATTTGAAAATTGTGGTCCTATACATTCCTGGATATGCAGATAGGAGTACAGTTACAAATGTTGGGGAACACCAGATTTATGATCTGACACACGACTGTAAACAACTTTTGAAATATCTCACTGAGGATGAATCAGAGTTAAATGAAGTGAATGATAATGCATTACAGAATGACATCATGGCAATTCTTAATCCTCCACAAGATACCGTGGAAAATGTGAATGAAGGGCAGGAAGAGACCATTAAACCGCTAAATCCTCCATGTCCTGTTCATTTCCCAAATGGATGTTATCCGTTGTGTACCCCAACTCAGCCACCCCAGCCCTCTAAATTCCCACAGGTACACGAAAATATTCCAAGGAATATATATTCGAGGGATCCTTATCAGAATAGACCTCAGGTATATGATCCTTCATTAGTGGAACCATTTTTAGATAAGGAACAGGAAGATCAGGGCTACTCGAGCAATATTGAGAAGCTGTTTCTTTCATTGATCTCTGAAAAAGATATTGCAGATTGTTGATGTGTACTGGTGGTGTAACAATATTCATATATGCTTTATAGAATACATAACTGACAAACTACAGCTTCATTTTGAATTTGTTTAAAAAATGTGCAAATTCTTTGTTTACTTGAAAGGACCAATCAGATAAACTGTACAAATTTACATTTTTTTTCCAAATTTAATATCAGTTTCATGACAAGTCATCATTTTCTTGTTAGGATATCTGGTTAGATATGGTGATTAAAAACTGTAAATTTTTCTGTCGTAGTACTAATGATAATCAGCATTCATTATTTTGCTAGTTTTGCAACATGGACTGCTTACGTACTGAATGTATATTTGAAGGCTATTGTTTCTCTAACCTAAAGTTAATATATCCCTGTCAAGTCTCTCTCTTTGATTGGCATTACAGATTAGATGTACAAATAAATTTGGCCTGGTTGTCCTTTTACCAACGAGGGTGGTTGGGTGGCGCAGTGGTAATGCTCTCCTTTCACCTAGCCGTCCGGGTCCGATTCCTGAACGGACGTGCAAAGGTAAGGGGTTACCTGCCCGACCACGTGGGTTTTCCCCGGGTACTCTGGTTTCCACCCACACTAACACCACCATGAGTGATTAATATAAGTTGGAAAAACTTGCTTGGCAATAATTGTAAAATAAATGCAGGCATAATTCTGGCAATTCCCCACCTAAGGTATTATTTTTTTCCAATAATTATGTCATTTAATTTTTATAGTGGATTTTAAGTTTGATGTTGGAAAATAAAATGTTGGAAATTAAAAAGTCATCTTTTGGTTAAAAAGATGACCTCGTTCAATTCAATTATGTGTTGAGTCATTTGTGGAGCAGGTATAAATAAAGTTTATTAATATTATAATGAAATAGATTTAACCATATCATTTCAAGTTCTCTGTTACCATTTTCAGTGAGGTTAAGATGTTATGTTTTTTCAAAGCAGGAATTTGTGTCATAAAATTTACAGCATGTACTGTATGTCTGGACATTCTCTGATGTAGCGACACTATGTTATATGTATTTTGGTACTTTAGATGTAATTAGAAATTAAGCAGCAAATATGTTTCATTCCTGTGATGGAATATAGGATATTTACTTTAAAAATGTACTTTTGACTTTTAAGGTGGTGTTGTGTTACAGGTACACTGTTAACTAACACTCCTGTACAAGTCATTATCGAAAAAATTTTTATAACGAAAAAGACCTGAAGTTGATCATCTCAAATTAAGATAATTAACAACAATTATAGTAAAGCATTATGGTAAAGTCTGTGTCAGGAATGTTAATTAATGGCCGTAATTAAGTCATGATGTTGAAATGGCGAAAATAAGATGCAGGTAAAAAACATTGGATTGAAGTACATGGATCTGAAAAAAAAAATCTCTTGAATTCAATATGAAACATTGATTTAAACAGGAACTCAGCTGTTAGTGTAGATCTGATTGTCATAATTGATGGGCTATTTTATTTATTGTAAAATTATGAATTTCAGGAGATCACACATTTCTTGATTAAAAGGGAACACACACAAAAAGTTTTATCATAACTTTTTAGTTCATTGATAAGTGCACAAGAAATCTACTTATATTTTAAACTCATTCATGGTCATATTAGTTTCGGATTAAGAACACAGTAATTGATATAATCAGGAAAAATGATTAAATGTGTACTTTACAAAATTAAAGTTTTTTTCATTATACATTGTCTAGTAGTTGTTAACAGTGTAAATTATTTAATCCAAATGAATTTCATTTTTGTAAGTAATTTGTTGTCATCAGAAATGTAGAGAATATTACAGTTCTTAAACATACCCAAAGATAAAAACTTAGTGGGAGATGTTTTGCTTTTTTTTGTTATCATTACTTTAATTCATTGTCGAGATATATGAAAGATTATATACTGCAGTATTTGCTGTCGTTTTATTTACATTGTTGAAGTGTTCAAAGTGAAATTTGTTGAACAGTATATAAATGTAGAGACTATTAGTGTTCATTGTTTATACTCTTTGAATTTTGTCAGATTGTCAAATTTTGTAAGTGGGCGTTAACAGGATCAGGAATTGCATTCAATTAAAAATAATTTATCATCCAATTTTTCATACATCGAATACTTTTTTTCAAGATGACTAGTTTCTCTTAAAGGTTGGAGTTTGAATCTTACCTGATAGAATATTTTTTTTTTATGATTTGATATCAGAATGACATACGATTGGTGTACAATATATCCTGTCTTAAGGTATGAACTACATCAACACGTACATGATGTAGCTGAAGGTGGATGGAATGTCACCACGTACTGATGAAGTAATACTCGGGATATTTCATCAGGATAACTTGTGTATTTCTAGTTCAGTGTTGGTGTCTTGTAGAAAACCGTCTCTAATCAACAGTGTTGTAACACATAGTAAAATTGCTGTCACAAATAAAACTTCCTAAATACAAATAATTTTCCCAGTCCTTGTGCAAATTGCAAACATGTACATGTACATGCCTTTCAATCGAACCTACAAGTTTAATTTTGTACAAGTTTTGTGTGACTCTTTATTAAAATGTTTATAAGGTTTGATGTTTCATCTTTGTTGATTGTTTTTGATTGTTTATTTTGATTGTCAAATTATTTATGTGTTTTTGTGGTACATTGTTTTACTTCTATTTAGAAATCATAATTTACAAACAACACTTTAAAAGTTATGTCTGTTATGAAGAATGTATATAAATATTGTTATATACTTGGGATGTGAGATTTATATCATATACGATTTTGTGCCATGACATATCAAACGTTTTTCCTGTAAATATCAGACTTTAGAGTGGTGTTTTGTCTTGCCTGTTTGTATCGGATATGTCTTAGTATTTATGACTGTCAACAGTTCTTTTGCTTCTTACTTGAAGTATATAGAACACAAAACGTAACACTTTCAGCACCAGAGGCTAGTATATCAGATGTAGGAGGATTTTAACAGAAATGGAATTCTTTTGTTTCTGGTTCAGACTGTTAGATCGCAAGAATGAATCACCTTTTACCTTTACTAAGTCTGATACAAATAAAATAACCTACATTCATACAATGCATGTTTTGATAAAATCATGGACTTTTCTTTTCATTTCAGTTGGAATTATAAGAAAGCAAATAAGTGTGTTTTACCGAAATGTACAGCTGCTCTTCCAAACGTTTCTGATGTTTGATATTGTATATATGAAATTTAAATTAAAGTAGAAGTTAAACCCTATTGATGTTCTGTTTAGATATTTTTATCAAATGTAATTTTGATATATTTGTATACACCAACATAAGTCATATGTAATGAGTTTATGAAGCTACTGTGGCTTGTATGATAAATTCTTGTTACATGCTGCAATTGAGCGAGACTTAAAACCAAGACTGAAATTTTGGATGCCATGGTTGACGTTATACATTTCTTTTATGCTGTTGATAAAATTCCTTATGGTTAAGGGGATGTTTAATCTCATTTATTTGTATAAGTTTTTTAAGTCATTAATATGATATCCCCATTTAATTTGCCAAAAACCTTGCTAAGAATGTTTATAAATTTGACGTTAAAATTAATTTTGTGTATTTTCATATTTGCAGTATAAATTATCAATCAACCAAACTTATTTTCTGCAATATTTGTCATTTGTTTTTATGACTACAGGTGTGTTGTTTTTTGAATTTCTATTTCATCTTTGAAACTAACATTACATTAAAATGTTTTATATCGATTCAAAGCTTTACATCAGGGCTTTGTAATCATTACATTCCTATTTTTATTGACTTGTACTTCCAAATAAATCCAAACACATCATTTGTATCTTGTGTTGAGTTGTATCATTTTCAAATACTCTTTTCAGAGTGTTACACATTCCAGACTTGCATATAATATAATATAATATAATATAATATAATACAATACAATACAATACAATACAATACAATAGTGTAGAAACACATCAGATAAATATTTCTGGGTGGCTACAATACAATATTTTTCTACAATACAATACATCATCAATGGAATACAATAACTACAATACAATACAATACAATATCTTTTCTACAATACAGACCTCTGGAAAAGAACTAGATAAATGTTATACATTGAACTAGATAAATGTCATACATTGAACTAGATAAATGACATACATTGAACTAGATAAATCTTATACATTGAAATAGATAAATGTCATACATTGAACTAGATAAATCTTATACATTGAACTAGATAAGTGTTATACATTGAACTAGATAAATCTTATACATTGAACTAGATAAATGTCATACATTGAACTAGATAAATGTTATACATTGAACTAGATAAATGTCATACATTGAACTAGATAAATCTTATACATTGAACCAGATAAATGTCATACATTGAACTAGATAAATGTTATACATTGAACTAGATAAATGTCATACATTGAACTAGATAAATCTTATACATTGAACTAGATAAATGTCATACATTGAACTAGATAAGTGTTATACATTGAACTAGATAAGTGTCATACATTGAACTAGATAAATCTTATACATTGAACTAGATAAATGTTATACATTGAACTAGATAAATGTTATACATACATTGAACTAGATAAATGTTATACATTGAACTAGATAAATGTCATACATTGAACTAGATAAATCTTATACATTGAACCAGATAAATGTCATACATTGAACTAGATAAATGTTATACATTGAACTAGATAAATGTCATACATTGAACTAGATAAATCTTATACATTGAACTAGATAAATGTCATACATTGAACTAGATAAATCTTATACATTACATTGAACTAGATAAGTGTTATACATTGAACTAGATAAGTGTCATACATTGAACTAGATAAATCTTATACATTGAACTAGATAAATGTCATACATTGAACTAGATAAATCTTATACATTGAACCAGATAAATGTCATACATTGAACTAGATAAGTGTTATACATTGAACTAGATAAATCTTATACATTGAACTAGATAAATGTTACATATTGAACTAGATAGATGTCATACATTGAACTAGATAAATGTTATACATTGAACTAGATAAATGTCATACATTGAACTAGATAAGTGTCATACATTGAACTAGATAAATGTTATACATTGAACTAGATAAATAAACACGTATTGAGTTAAAAAACAAAACAAACATTAACAAACAAACGGGAATGATTACACTGTATATAGGAAGAGAGAACGATATCTTTCGCCTTATGAGCATTCTTCTTAAATATTATGTGGTGTAATTTAATAACGTTGGCTTTTAAAGATTCAAACTATTTATACTTTTCGGTGCGTGAAGAAAGTAGTTAAAATAAGTACTTGTGTATCTAATTTATTTAAGTACATATGATAGCGATTCGTAATGTAAACGTACAAAGGGATGACACACGATGCTACTTTATAAGTGGTATGCTGTTACAAATTTTATATGCTCATGCGCACATGTTGCCGTGTGTTTCAAGTCTTTAACATCGTACCAGATAAACCTTTATAATATATTCAGTTCTGCACTATTTAATAGAACGAACACGGCAGTCAAGAAGAGAATTCAACACCAGCTGTATATGCAATGATTGTACGGGAGCCAAGCTATTTTGTCGGTGTTACGTTACTGAGTAAAAACAAACTTCTCACCAACATTATCACCAATATTGATTATTATCGTAACTTCAAATTAGTAAAACACAGTCATAATAGAATAAGGAATGACTTTTAAACGTCATGTCGAGAGAATAAGGACCACGTGTTCAAAGTAATGTCACGTTGGAAATATGACAAGCAAAGTACAAATAGACTGAAGACCACGTGGAATTGCATGATTCCTAAAAATGAATATGTACATGTTCTCGTAATGAACCGCCATCTTTACCCAGATTGTGTATGCATGTAATACGGTGAACACGATATTTGAGAAATTTCTAAGACAAGGACAAGGAAGCAGATTTGCAACTCTATGGATATATTAGATTTAAAAGGTGTACTTTAACAGGATCTGTAGTGAGTCGGAACGATTTCAAGTTCAACACGCTGTTTTATATTATCTTTTGAATTGAATCAATTTTAAGACTTGTGTCACTCTTGTCCATCTCATCTTTCGGATATGATAACAATCACACGAAAACAAAATTTGCCGGCCACAATAAAAAAACACACTTTGGCACATTGGTATACCAACTGCCTGTTTAAAATATCCTTAGAAAAACCTAGCATAGACACAGGAATTCAACCGTTTTCACGATCCTCAGTAGATGTACATGATGTGTATTGTAATATTGTTGTTTATAATACCCGATATCTTTAGATACAATCAGATTTTTCTTCAAATATTACGTAATTGAAAACATTCCGTTTCGTCAGATCTGGTAACACTACACTGAATATTATAAATTCTCTTTTTTTAGTATTCATAACTTTAACTTTTGAGACTGGAATTGATATAAGCTCTAAGCTTGTGTCCCTTACGTATCGTTTGATGGGTGTCATTGTTAAATATTAAATAAAAACATTGTTTAAACTAAAAAAAGAAAAAAAATCCTGCAGAATCTTGGAAAATCTTAAGAAATGTGTCGTTTGTTTTCAGTTCGAATGTATCATTTTGATGTAGAAATATACTTTGATATCTCAAATGAGGAGGGATCAGTGCGTATGAGACACGGTCGTCGGAAGTATTCCGAGCTGTTCGAGGACGTTATACGAACACAGAAGAAACTATGAGATTTTCTTCCCAAATCAACGCTTCAAAAGTAAACTTTTAGCAATGTAATGTTACCGGAAAATGTAGGATTCTATCAAATGGTGCGCAATTGTATTGATTTCACGATGTCTGTTATGGCTCGTTTTAACAGGTGTAAGAAATCCACGAATTCAAATCGACCTTAGAAAATATTTTAGGTAAATAAGATATCAGTTACAAAGGAATTTATCGCTGATACGAATAGGGTCACCTCGCAGAGGAATTTCAATCTACACAAAAACGACCATCCCAATTTCAGACAATTTGAAATATGTAGTAATGAGAGACTGTAGTGTCCTAAGCTCTTCGATCGTTCATGTCTGGTGCGTATTTTTCTGTATTGTTCAACAGAAAAAGCCGTGTCGGGTGCCTGGTATATTTTCACTGTTTTGTGTATACTGATGGTGCATACCGCGATAATTATGCAGCTAGATGTGTAGAAACTGGTATTTAATTTCAAATATAAATAAACAGTATTCATTGAGAAGATGCTTTTTTTAGCGAATATTTATTACCGAGATTATTCTATATATCTTCAAAAAAGAAATAGAAACATGAGATTTTAAGTGATGCGTCAAAATGTGAAGCATCACCTGACTTTGCCGCCGAGCCAGGTAACATCAGTTCAACTTCCTGGTTATCGTAAGTGTATTGTTTAGCTCGACACTGTCTATTGGTAGTAAGAAAAGTGAATCTTGAAATGTTGGCATTTAGACTAAGCTCTGTGTTTCTGCTGTGTTATAGCAGTTTAAGTTTAAGCGAAGTCAATTGCCCAACTTCAAATGAAGTCACAATGAGCGACTTACAAGCTTGTCAACGACGGAGATGCTCACAAATGGTATGTGTTGATTATTTTTAAGTCGAAATTAATTTTACGATGAATATTGCTGTGGCAGGTAAATTGATGTATAAAGACAGACGAGACAAAAGTTAAACCTTCTGATCTTTTTTAAAGATTAAAAAAACATATTTTATACCTTAACAGTTCAATCAGTCTCAAATTTAATTTAGGTACATAAATTCACTTGCATTTTATGGTTGAACACACAAATCATATTAAAGTTTCAGGTGTTGAAATTCCAATACATATTTCAGTTTAGATAATTGCTACTACTTAATTGTTTACAGTATCAGTCTGTACATAAAAATCACAACAACAAAAACCAAACAAACTGCAAAAGAGCCAGGTTTCAGACATATTCTGTATGCATACGGTGGGTTGATTTCATAAGCACCCATTGGAACGTTGTGTGATTCGTCTAGCCGGGATATACAACGCAACATAAAGGGTTGTGTACATTATATTGTAATGGTTGGGTAGTTTCTGAATAAACAAGTTTATGTGTAAATTGGTATATCTCGTTACCAGGGTATCGAGACCTCGTATTAGATCTGAAAGGTGTCTTGTTGTACAGGCTTCAGCCTTATATATACCACAGTTAGCTATCATCAGAGTAACCAAGCGTTCTTGGTACGACAATATAAGATGTTGTAAAGCATTAGTTGATCGAAAGACTAAAGTTACGGATTTAAGTTACATGCTTATTATAGAAATTTCGCAATTCCTGTGTAACCTAGCTGCAATATACCACTAGTTTAGAGAGAACATCTCTTTAGCTCGATTGGTTGAGCGTCAGACTATTAAGCCATAGGTCCCGGGTTCGCTTCCTAGCGGAGGCATTGAAAGGAATAATTACCTCTAGTACGATATAAAAGATTGAGTTTCCTTGACGGATACTCATAATTGTGCAGCAATAAAAGACAATATTTCTATGTTCTCTTTTCTTTCGTTCGATTTTTAATTTCTCCTATGGCATGTCCCTAATCCTGTTGTCTTTAATGTGTTCGTCTTTGCTGTTTCTCAATTTCCTGTTAGCTGTTGTCATATCCTGATGTCTTAATTTCTTTGATGCGTTCCGAGTTCTCGTTTGCCACTTATGTGTCACCCATCAAGCCCTGTTCGTTTTCTGTTTGTCTTCAGGTTCTGTTCGTCATCGGTTTACCTTTGGGTCCTTCGGTGTGTACGCGGACCTGATGTGTTTTATGTGACCCCATTTTCTGTCCTCTTGAGTGTAATGTCAGCTCCTGTGGTCTTTGGGGTGTCCTTGGTCCCTAGTGTCTTGGTGTTCTTCAGGTTCAGTTGTCGCCAGTGTCTCCTGGAGAGGTTTAACTATCTGGTTTTCTTTTATGTGTTCCTAGTTCCTCTCGTCTTAAGTTTTGCCCCATTTGACTTTCTTGTTTTCTTATCAATAGATGTCTGTCGCCCTGGCACATCCCTCTTATTTTTCTAGCTTTTCGATGGTCTTGTCATCAACGGTTCCTTATCGCTGCTGTTTCCTTTGTTACTATGGGGTTGCTGTCTCCTCGATGTCTCTGAATATACCTGCCCGTTCATTGTTTTACAACGCCACATATTAAAGGTAATGCTTATATATTTATTTATGTATAAAGTCGTTGCTTTGTGTGTGCCTACGTCCACGTATGCGTTCAAGCACTTGTCAAGCATTTTTGATCTGACGTATCATCGTGAGGCTATTCTGTCTGTTTATTTGACATAAAATTTGATTTTTCCGGAGTTCTCATACCACAGTGTTCAACCGAACTCTATCAAGGAATGTTTTGCTGATTTGTCGAACAACAGTCAAATTCGTCTGTATTTAGAAGAGTTACTGCCCCTTGTTTTTTCATATAAATCTTGAAGAGCCCGGAGATCTGTTTCAAATTTTCGTCGGTTTATTTCAACCTTGTTAGACTCAATAACTGTGAATAATTCAGCATTTCTTTAAAGAATTATTGCTCGTCGTTTTCAGCATTTAACCCTGTCCGTACATCTCCTCCAAAAGCATTTAATGATTAAATATATATCAGGACATGTCAATAGCTAGCAGGAAATTAGGAAACAACAAAGACGAACACATTGAAAACAACAGGATAAGGGACATAATGCTTGTGGCAGTACTATATATATATATGTATCGCCTGAAGATGGCCGTTAGGTCTGTAAACGTTAGCGTAATATAATTGCCGTGCTGATTTCATTCTTTTCAAATATATATAAGATAGGCTTCATAACCATGGCATGTAATTGTTCATTGTATTTCGATTAAACAAATATAGAACTTGCTGCCCACTGTTTTTAAAACATTTCAATGTTATCTACAAATTTCTTAAATTTCATTAAAACGCAGAGAAATGTTTTCATTCAATGAGGTTTGGAAGAATTATTGCTTTTTGTTCTCAGTTCCTGTGTGTAGATCCGACTCCATCAGTTATCAGCTGATTTCTTTCAGACTCTCAGTTACACGTCGATGAATTCATAACGATAGGATAATTCTCTCTGGCTGACATGAGGCAGGTGCTTGAAATGATCAGGTCCTCCGTTGTCATACTTTTAAGAAAAAAATGACATTATTTTGTTACAGGTATATATATTTTCACTTTGTGATTGTGGTCCTTTTTGTCGAGATTTTATGCTAGTGAAAATGCAAGTACATTGGTAAAATATCAAACATCTATTTGTCTGCACTTCAGATGATAAGACATTCCATGTCTATATATCTATTTAACACAATGATCGTTCATTATTTCACATTTCCTATTTGCATTGTACGTTAAAACCGGTTTCAAATGAGATACATTTTACTACGAAACTTAATGGAGTGATAATAGATCTCGTCGGCTTTAGTCACCTACAATATTTACGCCGATCTGCTCAATCTTCTCTGTCACTGGAGCGAGACTTGGTTTGGCTTTTAAGTTACCCTAAGTCTTATGGGTAAGGAGTAGATTAGAAGGAGTCAGCATGATGTTACGTAGAACGGATTTACACAATCTTTTCTGGCATAGTATAACATCGACATCTTTGTTGTTATTCTGTGATGTCGCTACAGTGACCTTTAACACAAATTGTCACTCATCATCTGACTGTTCACAAGGTGTAAGTATTGATATACATATTCCTACTCCTATACATTTGTATTATTATGGACAAGATTTAACTACAAATGTTATCTTTTTCCGGGATCAAAGTAAAAATGTAATTCTAACTGTTTCCTGGATGTTTGCAAAATTATTCTCCATTTGTTCCGTGGATTTCATTACACATACATTCACACCGTTCCTGGGATATCAGAATAAATCTATTCTAACTGTTCCTGGGATACAAGTATAAATCTATTCTGACTGTTCCTGGGATATAAATATAAATCTATTCTAACTGTTCCTGGGATATAAGTATCAATCTATTCTAACTGTTCCTGGGATATAAGTATCAATCTATTCTGACTGTTCCTGAGATACAAGTATAAATCTATTCTGACTGTTCCTGAGATACAACTATAAATCTATTCTAACTGTTCCTGGGATATCAGAATAAATCTATTCTGACTGTTCCTGGGATATAAGTATAAATCTATTCTAACTGTTCCTGAGATACAAGTATAAATCTATTCTGACTGTTCCTGGGATATAAGTATAAATTTATTCTGACTGTTCCTGGGATATAATCTATCTCTTCTGACTGTTCCTGAGATACAACTATAAATCTATTCTAACTGTTCCTGGGATATCAGAATAAATCTATTCTGACTGTTCCTGGGATATAAGTATAAATCTATTGTAACTGTTCCTGAGATACAAGTATAAATCTATTCTGACTGTTCCTGGGATATAAGTATAAATCTATTCTAACTGTTCCTGAGATACAAGTATAAATCTATTCTGACTGTTCCTGGGATATAAGTATAAATTTATTCTGACTGTTCCTGGGATATAAGTATAAATCTACCCTAACTGTTCCTGAGATATAAGTATAAATCTATTCTGACTGTTCCTGGGATATAAGTATAAATCTATTCTGACTGTTCCTGGGATATCAGAATAAATCTATTCTAACTGTTCCTGGGATATCAGAATAAATCTATTCTAACTGTTCCTGGGATATAAGTATAAATCTATTCTAACTCTATTCAATCTATTCTAACTGTTCCTGGGATATAAGTATCAATCTATTATAACTGTTCCTGGGATATAAGTATAAATCTATTCTAACTGTTCCTGGGATATAAGTATCAATCTATTCTGACTGTTCCTGGGATATAAGTATCAATCTATTCTAACTGTTCCTGGGATATAAGTATAAATCTATTCTGACTGTTCCTGAGATACAAGTATAAATCTATTCTAACTGTTCCTGGGATATAAGTATAAATCTATTCTAACTGTTCCTGGGATATAAGTATAAATCTATTCTGACTGTTCCTGGGATATAAGTATAAATCTATTCTAACTGTTCATGGGATATAAGTATAAATCTATTCTGACTGTTCCTGGGATATAAGTATAAATCTATTCTAACTGTTCCTGGGATATAAGTATCAATCTATTCTAACTGTTCCTGGGATATCAGAATAAATCTAATCTAACTGTTCCTGGGATATCAGAATAAATCTATTCTAACTGTTCCTGGGATATAAGTATAAATCTATTCTAACTGTTCCTGGGATATCAGTATAAATCTATTCTAACTGTTCCTGGGATATAAGTATAAATCTATTCTAACTGTTCCTGGGATATAAGTATCAATATATTTTAACTGTACCTGGGATATAAGTATAAATATATTCTAACTGTTCCTGGGATATAAGTATAAATCTATTCTAACTGTTCCTGGGATATAAGTATAAATCTATTCTAACTGTTCCTGGGATATAAGTATAAATATAAGTATAAATATTCTAACTGTTCCTGGGATATAAGTATAAATCTATTCTAACTATTCCTGAGATACAAGTATAAATCTATTCTAACTGTTCCTGGGATATAAGTATAAATCTATTC